GCCGCTTCTTGACTGGCTCAGCACAGAACAAGGCGAATACGTGCAAAAAACAATTCTTTGACTTTCTGGCCAAATTTTCGAAACGGCCACTGAAATCCGAAACACCCATACCATGAAAATCGCCTCGACCGCCGTCCCCTGCCTACGGAAGTGCAGCCGCGCGCACGTTGTTGCGGGTGCGCTACGTGGCTGCAAAGATGGCGAGAACAGGCGGAAAATTCGCTCTGCTTGCGCTGGAGCCCCCAACGGGAACCTTGGTCGGCGGGTTGACCGGGGTAATTAGCGTCATGCGCCAACCCGACGTGACTTAATTCAGGGCTGCAGATATAATCGTAGGCTTTAACCGTGCCGTACCTTCCTCTCTCCACATTCTGCTCCACTTTCTTTCGTCCCATGCAGAAACCTGATTCCCCTATAAGTGCAAAATATGGTCAAGGACGAGGAAGGCAGCGGCAACAAAGAGTGAACCCGTGCCGCTTTGGTTATTCATGACTCGTGATTGGTGAGCACTATCGTTGTGTTGTTGGTCTGCTGTGCTGCTAATGCATCATCGCAGTTCGTTGTTGGGCTCCACTTTAACCTACTAGGATGCACCAGCGTACCACAGAGCGTAAGGAACGTCATCTGGACTACTCGGGGGTTCCCCTGCTAGTCAACCCCCCGAGTATGGAGGCTTCGTGCGATCGATAAGAGCTAGCGTAGGATTTTGAGAGTGACAGGTCAGTCTGCAGGTCCAGGCAGCATCCAAAACACATTGTCTGTAGATTAGTTGGTTCCCATCGACTGGAGTAACCCTACATACATTCGATGTGTAACACGTGAATGCGGCTCGCTGTGCGACTGCGGCAAAGTCGCCTCCTTTCCTCGCTCCACCTCTTATTGCGAAGCGGCAGTTGGGGCAGTATTACTCGTCCTCGCTTATCGATATGGAAGCCAAATAGCTCACGACTGTCGCCCGGTTCTAGTTCAAAATACGACATGCTCCCATGTAGACGCAGTCTTCGCCGAACAGGGAACCATGCGCCTCGTGTATGCGTATGACTCCGTTACAGTACTAGTTACAGGGCTACAACAAACCCAAGAACCAACAACCGACCTCTAAGGCCAATCGGAGGTGTCCCGCCCCTGTAGGGCATTCACTGCCCACCTAACTATCATCCTTCAGCACGAGCGTGCATCATGAAAAGGATGTGGGGCCTGGCTGCAGCGCAATGTCTTGCAGAACAAGTGCTATTGGAAGTGGAAGCACAATGTGGCTGCAGCGTGGCAGCTCGCAGAGCGATGACATCAAAGTTGTTACGAGCCCAATAAGCCACAGCGACGAGGTGAAAATGTTACCGCCGACGACGCACGAGACAGGCTGGCCGATCCGGAGCATGCTCTGGATGCGATGTGACCTTCAGGCGGAGCAGGTGGCAACGCATTCAGCGGATTTGACGGCGCCACTCCTGCGGCTGCCGGATCGAGACCTGATGGCAGTATCGGTGTACGCAGTGGGGAAGAGTGGGGGAGGCAATGTAGATATGATCGTATCGAGGTACTATGAAGTACAACAGGAGAGAGGAGGAGGGAAGGAAGCTGGGCGACGCGGGGTCTCGGAGTCGTTGGTGATAAAGTGACCGGGAGCCAGAATCTACATTGCCAGACAGCGTCCGCTTCGAGATGCATTTCAGCAGCTCTACTTTTGGGTACATGTACATAATCACCCATAGTTCGTGTTGCTCCTAATACTGCAGTTGGTTCTCAATGCGAGGTGGTGACCGCAAGGTGGATGTGCGTTGCTGCAAGTGGGTGCTTCTGACTGTCCCCGGCACGGGTGGTGTGAGTCATTTGGACGGCATTGCAGCTGCAGATCGTAGCCCCGTCACATCCTCTCCCTGTGCATTAGCGGATGTTTGCCTGCATCGAACTGCAGCCACCATTGCGATGGATGCCAGTCTTTCTGCATGAACCCCGGTATGTACATACAGTACAGTACGAGCCTTTTAACGTGTCAAATTACCAGCTGTCGCACAAGAGAAGTTCGGGGAGAAGGTTGGGCACAAAACGCGGGGTGTCGCTCCTAGACCCTTCGCCCATGGTGCCTGGGTTCCCGTTACGTACCTGCGGCCGATTCTGGCTTCACAACAGTCCTGCAAGTCCTCGTCTTGGGCGACTGACAGCACCTTCACTTCTCGCTGCTTGGTAGTACTGAGCTGTAAGGACTGCAACCCCTTCTTAATAAGCAATATCGTCTTCACTGCAGCCAGAAAGTGAGCTGGCGCCGAGTAGTATTGCTGCCCCCAACCAGGCAGCAGCGGAAGGGTCTAGGAGCGACACCCCGAGTCTCCTCGCTCAACCCGTTCCCCCGCAACTTGTCTCTACAACAGTTGGTAATCTGGTCATGCCAGCCCTCCACGAACGTCTTGACTTCACCATCACTCTACCGCGGGGTTGCAACGTTTCCCCGCTCACAGACCAGCGCACCGGTATGACATGGAAACACGTTCTGACGAAGATAGCGCATGGTATAACCAGCGCGTCTTTCTTCTGCCAATTCATCCGAAACTGGCCATGGACGAACCGATCCGCTTGCTTGGCAGTCGCACCTCGTCGGGATCTCTCGCCGTGTTCGCGGCCGCCCCTTGGTCTTTGGAGAACCCGCATGTGGGGTGGATCGTGATACTGTTGATCCGGACTGCGGCAATCCCTGACGTCGCCATGATCAGCGGCGATTCGAAAGGCTCCTCCTACTGAACAACTCGACGAGTGCCTCGATGATTCGCGACTTGCCGGTCCCGCCCTCGCCGCCGATGAACTGGCAGAGCTGGCCGACGTCGCCTCCGTCGTTTTGTCGTATCAAATCGAGCTGGCGGCATATGATTGAGAAAGCGATAGACTGCGTTTTGTTCAGCGTCAGCCGTGTCGCCAACTCTCTGCCCGCCGCTGAGAAAGAGGTTCCCGCCATTGTTGTTGCATTCGAGCCTGACGAGCGATACATAGTCGTACAGGCATAGGCCTCGCAGGCGCTCTCCACGGTGCTGATACGCCTCGACGTGGGAGATCCTGGGGCCTGCTTCTTCGACGACAACCGACTCACCCAGGGGATCATCTGTGACCCTACGCCACTTTCCTGTCGAAAGACGTGCCAGTACAACAGGTATGTGTTTAGGTACGCCCAGGCGCTGCTGTTGGTAAATTCGGCTGGAGATCCTAGAAGAGCGACGACCTCGGCCTGCAACAGGGACGCTCCGTCAACACACGGTTCGCCACCCTCGTCAAAAACTATATGGTCTGATCCGTGCTCCATGGGGTGTATGTTGCATATCACCATCTCGTCTGCCAGTTCGGCCAACGCAAGCACTAGATCAAGCGTGCTTTCCGAGTCTCGGCCCTGCCACGTTTTGGTGCCTCGCGGTAGCAGGCTGCAGAGCCCACAGTCATTAATCAGGTCGATGATCGACTGCGCTTCCCCTTCTCTTCTCGCCGTTACCTCGTCGCCTCCCCAGAGTAGATCGTGGCGATTAAAGTCACCAGCGACGACGAAGTCTGCTCGCCGTCCAGTTCACCGCGGAAGCCCGCCACTAATCCATGCATCTCTCTTACCGCTCTCGACAGCGCCTCCTCGCTCTTCCCTACGTACACCGACGATACCATTAGATATCAGTCTGGTAGCCGAAGGATTGCCGCTGTCAAATCCGCTGACTGCGTTGCCGCTTGCTCCGCCTCGAGGTCACTCCGACCCAGAGCATGGTCCTGATCGGTATCATTCTCACCAGCTGCTGTGGCTTATTGGGCTCGTAATTATCCTGCTGTTTTATCCTCCTCGCTTACGGTTCAGAGATGGCCAATGCACGGTAGCCCTTGAGATCTTCGTCGTTCATCAGGCTCAGCTGCACCGCGTGTTGCTTTCTAATGTTAAGCCGCAGCATGCGAAAGCTCGTGCACTGTTACGTGATGACCGTTTCGGCCAATTCGGGCTGAATGAGGAAGGCAAATCATCCAGGCTTTTTGAGATCTAGTGGCAAATGTCGTCTAAATCTGACCCACGAGAAGGCAATTATCGGCCAGATTTGAGATGTCTGCCTAGAAAACCGGCAGGAGACTAGGTAATACCGCGCCGTGCACCCTGCTGCTCAAAAGCGATCGCATCCTCCACAGCTTTCCCCGCCAAAAATTTGTACTCTTCATCTAGTCTCTCCGTCGCGACAATAACTGCATTCTCCTTGTTTTGTAGCTCCGTTCTCTGGGCTGCTATTTCCCGAAGAGCTTCTTTTGACCTTGACCGCAAAACGTGCTTGTTACGCTCCAGTTCCTTCATAGTCGCTTGCGTCTTCTGTCGGAGCATAGCAATCTCCATACTGCGCCCGAAATCTCTTAAGAGCGTTGCCAATGCCTCAGCATCCAGCAAGAACTTTTCCATGCCCTTCGTGTTAACTTGACGCCGATGAACAGCGCTATGCCGAATGTTGGCAACAGAGCGGAAGAGGCTGTCCAACTGCTTTCCATTGCTCTCCATATCCGAGAAGCCTTTCTGGCGCTTTGAAAGTTCACCAATCCAGCGATTTAGCTCAACTGACTCCGCGCAATCCCATCCACGTTGGTGAAGAGTATCAGGCATCACTCGTTTTCCAAACTCGAAGCAAGTCTCTTCCAAAACATGTTGCAAGTGCACCAAAAGCTGGTGCTGAGTCTTGGAAGGGAGATAGGTCGGCGTCGCAGTCTCGTAGGGTCGATGAGTGACGTCTCCATGGGCAGGCGGCAGCGGGACCAAGCCTGCACCGGTTTGCAAGATCATATAATCGTGTTTCAGGGTACGTTCCGTATGGGAAATATCTGACGCAGAATACCGCGCCCGGAGCTCGGTCGGCTCGACCGCCAATTTGAGCTGTGTGACCTGCGTCTCGACGGAAACATCATGCGAATCCCCATTCACCTCCCGAAGGTTATTGCCATTTTCAACCAACCTTGATACATCTCTAGTGAGGGCATATGGGGCTCGGGCAAATAGGTCCAACGTCCTAGGCGTGTTGCTGTTGGTATGGTTCGTTTGTGTGGAATCGTCGTTTTCGCACCCTTCGTCATTGAGCGGCGGTCGTGCACCTTGGTTCCTGCTTCGTACAGGAGTCGTTTCGAGTGCGGCCACTTGCTCCTCTGTCGTGCACAGTTCCATTGTCGATGCTTCTGACTGATAGTTGTTGCCGTGCTTGCTCGACGACTCAACCGACTGTACGTACCGAATATGTCAGTTTTCATCATGTGAGACCTTCAACTTGGCAGCATACCTACAGAAAGCTGTAAGGTGTGACAGTCAAGAGCTTGTCGCCAGTGAAGCGCATCCGGAATTCGATCATCGCCCGACCCCATCCAATGGTGGACAGTTGCTCGCATAGCAACACTGACAACGTTAATGACATCCACTAGGGCATCTGTAAGTCCTAGTAATCACTGAGAATACCCATGTTAGGACAGTCTCAACTCACTGTGGTTCGAAGCTATCAACTCATTGTGGCTGTAATGAGGCGACAACTCTGATACCAGCTTCTCGTGATCGACAATATTCGCAGGAAGTTCATCCGGGGAGTACATCCAGCAGACGCGCGCATAGACGTGAGACTCGTCCGATGCCCTGATCTCGAGGATCTTGGCCACCCAACAGTCGGCGAGGCCCAGCACGCGTTGATGTTGAGGATCCTCGCTAGCAGCCTCTTGTCGTTCAACACTTTTGTCATTGGCAATGTACACGAAATCGTCGCTGTGGTACTTGACATTGTCTACTGTTGGGAAGACTTCAATACCGAACTTTTTTCCTGTGAAGCAGTGAGAAGTTCTGGGATCGCACTCACAAACAAAACTTCTGTAGCGGGTCATACCGGACCATCGCTTGTACGGCTTGACGGTATACAACGTGTCCAACGACTGACACGTCTTGAACTTCCCAATGGGCTCGAATGGCGACACCTGGACGAGATATAACCTGCTTTTGTTTGGAACGCCACGCTTACGCTTTTTGGAAGCTTGGTCCAGCTCCTCACAGGACCGCGCCGCGATTGTGGCCACAGTGAAGGGGCATTCTGCGCGGTTGTTTTCGATGGCGCGATGTCTCTTTCTTCCCGAGCTCATGACCGACACTACTGTCGTGCGATGGAAATTCCGGGCGATTGCACGCGTGCGTTGCCGATTGCAGGCAACAGGCAACTGTCAAGTTGTCTGCTGCGGTGGTGTTGTTTAAGGTTAGGGGCTGAGCTGGATGAGATTTGCTAGAGATCCGGCCACTTCTGCCTCAACAAGACCAGGCCGCTGCCAGGTTCTTCCGAGCCTCCTGCTGGATAACCCGATCACGTGCCATGTACCTTTTGGGTTGCCTAGGAGGTAATCCGTACAACACATTTTGGTAAACGCATAACAGAATGTGGGGCAAATGTGGCGCCACATTTTTCTATGGGTGCAGTTATATACACACAGGAGACCGAACTATTAGAACTCGCAAGCTCCTACCTAAATTTAGGAACTCGACAAGAAGCATGAAGCGAACGCCAGCTAGGCATTGAGGGGCCTCATCATGGAGACGCCGGCTGAGGCCGTGAATATGGTGGGGCGAAGCGCGTCGCCTGCGTCGACACCCGCGAAAAGATCGACACGCGTCGTGAGGCCAAGCACCAAAATTCGAGAAGCCGCGCGACAGCCCGACGATCTGGCGGAGAAGACAACACGCGCAACTAGGCTTGCAACGCGCATTGCCTCGGACGATGTCGCCATCAGTGACGCGACTGAGCGGCGCAAAGTTGCCAGCAGCAGCGGTGGCGCGAACGAAGGCCGAGCCATGCTCCAGAAAGTTCTCGAACTCTTGAGCGAGTCACGTCAAGAAACGCAGAAGCTCAGCCGAGCGATAGATGCGCAAAACGAGATCATATCCAAGCAACAGCAGATGATCCAGGAAATGGATCAACAAGGGAAAGAGATGAGAGATGAGCTTCGTCACATCCGAGCGCAGTTAGAGACCCTGGCTACGCCCGCATCTTCTCTGCAGAGCAGTCCGCAGATGTCGTATGCGAGCGCTGCAGGGTCATCGCCGACGATCCAGACAATGAACCGGGGTACCGTACCAGCAGCTAAATCGGCACGAACAGCCGTCAGCGATAGTCTCTACTGTACGGTGGACACATCACGAGTCGAAGAAGCACATCACGAGTCGAAGAAGCGAACAGGTGCCAGACGCAGATCGGCAACATCCGAAAGGCCATAGAGAGCGACATGAGAAAGAGTCAGAGGCAGGAGACTTGGAAATGCGCAGCGGTCGTGACAGACGCTCGAAACCCCGACCGGATCAAAATTTTATGCAGAGACCAAACCGAGTTGAAGCAGGTCAAGGAAGCAGCGCAGAAGACGGTAACTTCGGGAGCCAGGGTACTGAGAGATCAGCTTTACCCTGTCAAAGTCGACAACACCAAGCGTACCGCAGTGCTGGACGCCGAAGGCAACGTTCTGCCTGGCGCAGCTGAGGCGCTCGGAGCCGAGAATTACGTCACGATTGCCAAGATCACCTGGCTTAGCAACAGAGAGAAAGCCAAAGCGTACGGGTCAATGGTGATCTATGTCACTAAAGAGAGTGACGCGCAAAGACTTCTGGACGGCGTGTGGTTCGATGTTGCGGGAGAGTCCGCCTGCACCAATGTTTTTGAACGCCGCGTAGGACCGATTCAGTGCTTCAACTGTCAAGAGATGGGACACAAGGCGTTTTCATGCAAGAAGCCGCAAAGATGTGGCAGATGCGCGAAAGCAGAACATCACCACAGAGAATGCAAGGAGACAGTGCCAAAGTGCGTGCCCTGTGGTGGACCACACGAATCGTACAGCCGGAACTGTCGGGCGCGGAACGCTGGGGATGAGACGCAGGCAGCGTCTGGCCCTTCGGGCTAAGCAGCGGAAGTGAGAATCCACTTAGGATCGATTATAGCACTAACCTTCAACAACTGACCAGCTCCATAAGCACGTGGGGCGAGTGCTGAAATCGAGGCTCCCCGACGTTCTACTATAGTTCTTCATATTTCTTTACTCTGGGGTAGGTGTGGCTCTTGATTGCCATCATGGCAGAGCCTGAAGTGGCGCCTCCGGCCGACGTGGGGGCGGGGCTGGATCCAACTAGCCCGTCGCCATTGACGCGTCCGACGCGAGTGAGGACGCCCAGCGCACGAGTGCAGGATACGTTACGATCGTTGGAAAGTGCGACCGCGAGAGCTCCCAAGCGTGTCTCGACCCGAACGACGCGAGTCATATCGGTGGGCAACGAAAGCGAAAGAGGCGACGAGGTGAAGTCACGCAGCAATGTGGAGACCGCCAAATCGATGATGCAAAGGGTTCTAGAGATGCTGGCGAAGATGGGAAGCGAGATGGTGGAGCTGAAACATCGAGTATCCGAGCAAAGCGACACGATCAGGAAGCTGAGCGCCACGGTGTACAAGCAAAGCACCACCATCCAGGGACAGGAAGATCTGATCCGAGGCTTGGAAGCCCAGGTCCAGGAATCCAAGGAAGAGTTTCGACGTAAGAGCGAAGAACACGACAAGCAAATGAAACAGGAGCACCGGGATCTTAAGAGAGAATTGGTCGGAATGAAAGAGCAACTAGATCAGCTGATGCAAAAGCTGGATGTATCGGGCGAGGTGGCTTTGCCAAGCGGCCCTCGAGCAACGTTTGCGGACGTCGCGCGCGCCCTGCCAAACAGCCCGCCCTCCAGTACACGCAGCATACCTGGTCCAACCAAACAGCAGACAGCCAACGATTCTGTCCATTGTACCATTGACACGTCTCGTGTAAGTGAGCCGAACAGGAACAAAGCGCAAATCGGGCAGATACGACAGGCCATCGAGGTTGAGATGAGAGCGAAGAACGGACATGAGACCTGGAGGTGCGCAGCAGTTGTGAGAGAATCCCGGAATGCCGACCGAATCAAGATCGTCTGCAGAGATGAAGCCGAGCTTCAGCTGGTCAAAGAGGCGGCGCAGAAGACAGCCGTGGAGGGAGCGCGAATCATGAGAGACCAGCTGTATCCGGCCCGGGTCGACAACGCCAACCGGACAGCAATCCTCGACACGGAGGGCAATATCCTACCCGGAGCGATCGAAGCCTTGAGTGCCGAAAACAGAGTGACCATTGGCAAGATTTCCTGGCTGAGCAAACGAGAGTCTGGTAAAGCCTACGGATCCATGGTAGTATATGTCACCAAGAAAAGCGATGCAGAAAGGCTTCTGGACGGTGACTACTTTGACCTAGCGGGAGAGTCGGCCACCACTTATAAGTTCGAGCCAAGAACGGGACCGATCCAATGCTTCAATTGCCAGGAGATCGGTCACAAAGCATATTCATGCTAGAAGCAGCGGACATGCGGCAAGTGCGCAAACGCTGGGCATCACCACCGAGAGTGCACAGCGATTGAGCCAAAATGCGTCCCGTGCGGCGGACCGCATGAGTCGTTTAGCTGGAAGTGCAGGATGAGGAACCCGAGCAGCGATGCTTGAGTCCCTCCGCATCCTACAGCTGAATGCACACAAGAGTGATGTGGTGCAGCAGAGTCTGATGAACGACGAAGACCTGAAGGATTTTGCCGCACTGGCTATATCTGAGCCACATGCGCGCAATATCGACGGAAAGGTGGTGACGAGTCCTATGGGACACCATAACTGGACAAAGATGATTCCGACGTGTGTTCGTGACGCCCTATGGCCGATCCGCAGCATGCTCTGGATCCGAAGTGACCTTGAGGCGGAGCAAGTGCCTGTGCCGTCGGCCGATCTCACAGCAGCGGTACTCCGACTTGAGGGAAGGGAGGTGATGGTGGTGTCAGTGTATGTGCAAGGAAAGAACGACGAGGCGCTGACGAACGCGATGGAACTATTGCGCGACGTGATCGATCACTTCCGCAATGGGACAGGAGACGCACCGATGTGGTTTTGGCGGGGACTTCAACCGCCACGACCTCCTCTGGGGCGGAGATGAAGTGTCAGCGAGCAGACAAGGGAGGGCGAACCCATCATTGACCTGATGGACGACTTTGGTCTTAGCAGCCTTCTCCGAGAGGGACGAAAACGTGGCAGAGGTCGGACGAGGAGAGCACCATCGACTTGGTGTTGGCATCGGCGGAACTGGCGGACGAGTTGACATCCTGCGTGATTCATCCAACAGAGCACGGATCAGACCATAGAGCGATCCAGACGACCTTCGACATTCGAGTGCCGGAACGTACCTTTCCGCAGCGCCTGATGCTCAAGAACGCGCCGTGGATCGCCATCGCAACCAGGGTCGAGGACGAGCTTCGGCCTCTTCCGTGGACTGTGGGGGTGCAGACGCAGGCGGATCAGCTCATGCGGGTGGTCACCAAGGCGCTTCGAGATCTGACCCTCGAGCCCAGCCGCCGCCATACGCGAAGCGATGGTGGACAAAGGACCTGACGCAACTCCGTCGGACGTACACGTATTGGCGCAATCAAGCAAGGGCGCAGCGAAGAGCCGGTCAATCGCGGCCGGATCTGGAGCAGCGCGCCAAGGAGGCTGCGAAGGAGTACCACGACAATTTGCGGAGACAAAAGAAGGCCCATTGGGATGACTTCGTCATCGAAGGAGCAACATATGGAGGGCTGCCAAGTATCTGAAGCCTGGTACGGAGATGACGGATGACAAGGTGCCCCGCTGAAGAGAGCCGACGGCTCGATCACTGAAAGCAAGGGCGAGCAAGCCGAGGAACTCCTGAGCACCTTCTTTCCGCCTCTGCCAACGAGGATCGAGCCGGAGGGTGAACGTCCGCAGAGACAAGAAATAGCCATGCCAGACCTCACCTTGCAAGAGATTGAGGAGAAGGTGATGGCGGCGAAGCCCTGGAAAGCGCCTGGTGAGGATGGCCTTCCTGCGATCGTGTGGAAGAAGCTCTGGCACGTGGTCAAGCACCGGGTGTGGACGCTCTTCAGCTCATCGCTCCGAGAGGGCGTCGTGCCTCATCAATGGCGAACGGCTAAGATCATTCCCCTGAGGAAACCAGATAAAGGGGATTACACCTTGGCCAAGGCGTGGCGACCGATTTCTCTCCTGTCAACGCTTGGCAAAATCCTGGAAGCAGTCGTTGCGGAACGTATCAGCTATGCAGCAGAGGCTCAAGGGCTTTTGCCCGCGAACCACTTTGGTGCACGGAAGCGCAGGTCCGCAGATCAAGCACTTGTGCTTCTACAGGAGCGGATCTACAAGGCCTGGAGAACGGGCAGAGTGCTCAGCCTCATCAGCTTTGACGTCAAAGGCGCATACAACGGAGTGTGCAAAGAGCGAATGCTCGAAAGGATGAAAGCCCGAGGCATCCCGAGTCGTCTGGTCAAGTGGATAGACGCATTCTGCTCGGGACGGACCGCGTCGGTGGTTGTCAACGGGCACACATCCGAGCAACAAACCCTGCTGCAGGCCGGCCTACCCCAGGGATCCCCTCTGTCGCCAGTGGCTTTTCTTTTCTTCAACGCAGACCTGGTGCAAAGACGGATCAGTAACAATGGCGGCTCCATCGCCTTCGTGGACGATTACTCTGCCTGGGTCACGGGGCCAACGGCAGAGTCAAACAGAGATGGTATTCAATCGATTATCGATGAGGCGCTTGATTGGGAGAAGCGCAGCGGCGCCACATTTGAAGCAGAAGACATCCGTCATCCACTTCACACGCATCGCGGAGCGCGACAGCGACCTGCCTCTCATCATCAAAGGAAACGATGTCAAGCCGAAGAGCAACGTGAAGCTGTTGGGAGTCATCATGGACAAGGCGCTTCGCTTCAAAGAGCACATCGCCAGAGCAGCCGCCAAGGGGCTGGCCGCGGCCATGTGCTTGAAACGACTGAAGATGGCTTCGCCACGGATGGCGAGGCAACTGTTCGTAGCGACGGTGGCGCCAGCCATGGACTATGCCTCAAACGTGTGGTCGCACGCGTGCGGGGTGAAAGAAGCGGCGTGGATTGGCAGGGCCCAGCGAATCGGAGCCCAGGCTGTCACGGGAGGCTTTCGCACAGTGGCAACGGCAGTGGCCGAGGCCGAGGCCGGCGTGCAATCGTTCCGAGAACGGCATGCTCAAGCGGCAGCGAAATTCTGGATAAGGATGCGGACGCTCCCGAAGACGCATCCTCTGACATCGTTGAGGCTCAAGCTGAACAGGAGGTATGCGTCGCCAATGCAGAAGCTCGCCTCGGCGATGGGAAGACTAGATACCAAACGCCTGGAAGTCATCCACGAGTTCGCACTGGCGCCGTGGGACGAACGAGTGCAGGCAACGTATGAGGCAGACCGAGCGGAGGTGCTGAAGTCGGATGACCCGGAGGACATCACTATCGCGACGTCCAGCTCGCAAAGGAAAGGCAAGGTCGGGTTGGGAGGCGTCGTTCGGGATGCGTCCCGTGACAGCGCAGACGAGGTGCTGGCCAGCTACTCCGTCACCCTTGGCTCCAGTGATGAGCAGAATGCCTACACAGCAGGACTCGAGGCAATCGCCATGGCCCTGAGGTGTGTACCTCTAGGTCTTCATGACCGACAGCTCACAGTTGTGACAAGCAACCGCTCTGTCCTGCAAGTCATCGGGCGACCGCGGCAGCAGTCTGGTCAGTGCACGATACGGGCGATATACGGATCTGTTGAGTATCTTGCGAAAAGAGGCTGCAGAGTCAGACTTCGTTGGGTGCCTGCAAAGAATGAGGAGTTCACCCTTGGGCCACTGGCCAAAATGCAGGCGAAAAGAGCGACGCGAGATGAATGCATCGCTGAACCAGCAACGTTTCAGGCAAGAGCAACGACGTTACGACTGCTGCTCAACGAACACACTCGCGTTCGTCAGATCCCAGAAAGGGTTGGAAAGCACTCAAAGCGCATCGATAAAGCATTGCCGGGCAAGCACACCCGCAAGATGTACGACGAGCTAACTAGAAAGGAATCTGAAGTGTTGATACAACTTCGAACTGGCAAATCACGACTGAATGGCTACCTCTGCAAAATCGGGGCAGAGGAATCGGATGAGTGCACCTGCGGACAGTCGGCGGAAACGGTGGAACATTTCCTCTTTCGATGCAGAAGATGGACGGTACAACGAGAAATCATGCTTCGATATGCTCGCGGAAAGATGGGAAACCTGTCTTTCTTCCTAGGAGGCAAGGCAGAGTCAGACGACGACAAGTGGCAGCCCGATATGGGGGCTGTACGGGCGACAATACAGTTCGCATTGGCAACGAAACGCTTCAGTATGGACCGACGAGGGACCATGTACTGATCAAGGGATAATCATACTAACACAACAGCCTTCAACTTGGCAGACCGCGCTTCAGTCGCTGAAGGTAGGACGCTGAACACTTGGAGAAACTGACCTTCAAGTAGGCCTGTCATGTCACAGCGAACGAGGCTGGAAACAGATGAAAAGAAGCGTGGGGCTTCAGGTGCGATGGAACCATGTACAGTAGGTACGTAGCTTAGCGTAGTGGCTCTATGGGGGAACCCTCCGGGCGCAATACAAAATAATAATAATAATAATAAAATAATAATAATAAAAGCTGGTGCTGACGGGCCACTTAACCAGACTGGCCACCTAGCCACTTTTTCACACCTTCTACATTTCAGCCAGAACACCACCACCAAAATGCGTCGCGAAGAGGCCAGGCTTCTGGAGGCTCGTGTGCAAAAGGCCAAGAAGTATCTTGATCAAAATCCCACTGCAAAGGTGACCACGGTTGCTCGTCAATTCGAAGTGCCGCGTGGCCGACTCCGAAGCCGCCTGGACGGCCGAACCAGCTTGACTGACCGCCAACCAACAAATACGAAATTGAGCAAGCCAGAAGAAGATGCACTATGCCGCTACATCGATCGCCTTGACGCTGTGAATTTAGCCGTACGCAGAGAGTTCATTGTGGATGCTGCAAACCGCATTCTCAAGGAGCGGTCAGGCAAGGCTAGCCAGAGCAACCCGCCCACCGTGGGCATACATTGGATCGACCGCTTCGTCAAGCGTCATAAATATCTACTAATGAGCCAAAAGCAGCTGGAATCGAACCGCCAAGCCGCCGAGGATATCCCTACAGTCATTGAGTGGTACAAGAAACTCCACGCTGTAATGCAATCCGAAGGCATTGTGGAAGACGACATCTGGAACATGGACGAAACAGGGTTTCGTATCGGGGTTGGAAAAGACCAATTGGTCGTCACAAAGCGCAAGAAAGCCCATTACTTCGGCACTCCTGGTAACAGGGAGTCAGCTACGGCCATTGAGTGCATCTCGGCCGGTGGGCGAGTCTTACCAGCCTTCTTGGTGCTCTGTGGTATCCAACATCAAGCTCGATGGTACGAAGTCATGAAGCACTACCCAGACACACGCATTGCGATGTCACCAACTGGGTATAGTAACGACGAGATCTGCTTGGAGTGGATCTATCATTTCGACGAGCACACGAAAAACAAGACCAAAGGCAACAAGCGGCTACTTCTACTCGATGGATTCGGTTCACACCATACATACCCGTTTATCGAGTACTGTGGGCGCCGCGGTATTATACCCTTCTCTTTACCTCCTCATTTAACACACCTTCTTCAACCACTGGATGTGGTAGTCTTTCAGCCGCTCAAGCATTATCACGCAAAGGCGGTAGACCTAGTGGTTCGTGACGGCTGCACAGATATCACCAAATTGGAGTTCTTGGACTTCATTCAGGACGTCCGGAAGCAAGCCTTTCGTCAATTGACCATCATTTCTGCGTTTCGGAAGACTGGAATAGTGCCATTCAACCAAGAGGTGGTCCTGGCCGTCATGAAAGCACGCAAAGCTCGTACACCTACCCCTGAATTGGATCCGGCCCTCCTGTCTTCACCGTTCGGCACGCCAGTCACCCTCCGGCAAATGCACAAGGCGGCAACGCAATTGGAGGACCAGTTTACTATTGCCGAGGAATGCAACGATGGTTCTATACTTCTCGAGGAGGACTTCCTTGTGTCCGTAGGCCAATTCATCCGTGGAGCGATTTCCACTAGTACTGAGCTCCTTCAAACGAAGAAGGACCTCAGCCGCACACAACAGGCTGAGAAAACTAGACGACTCCGCAGGGCCATGAAAAATATACCACTACAATCAGGAGGGTGCTTACGGTAGCCCAGGGCCGTCAAATGGCCGCACGGAAGGCGGAGGCAGAGTTTCAGAAGGCCCAGCGCAAAGTCGACGCCACCCGGATTCGGTACGATAACGCACTCAAAAGATGGTATTTGGCGGCCGCAAAAAAAGCCAGATCTATGCGAATGACTGGTAAACTGGGCGAAATGCTTGTATATAGCGGAACTGGTGGTTGTAGGGCCATACGAAGGGCTGGAAAGTAGAAGGTGTGAAAAAGTGGCTAGGTGGCCAGTCTGGTTAAGTGGCCCGTCAGCACCAGCTTGGCTGGTGAAGGTGAATCGGAATCCAGAAAAGTGGGGCGTGGCACGAGTAGAAAAAGCTCGTTGACCTGAAAAAAAAAGAAGTACATAAGAGCCCCGTCATTTTGCTAGAACTTAAAAGTACCTCTCTTCCCGCGATAAGTGCAACACATGTTCGCTTTATTGCAAGCTAGTCATAGCAATGCAAATGCATCACCATACTGCCTTTGGGGTGTTTTTGGTGTTTTGGCATCGAATTGAGCTCTATTCGATTTCTTCTTCCTTCCCAGCCTCGAGCGCGTCTTATGATTCCTCTTCATCGCATCTCGATGCCGTCAGCTTCCAAGGAAAGCGTCTGACGGCAAATAGCACGCTTATTTGCCTCCATCACCACTAATTCGGCTGCTTCCTTTACAATCTCGCGATCATAGTACTCCGGCCACATGATCGCCTTGCTTTGCCCTACGCCGCGGTTGTGTAGCTCGCGGAGAATCCTGTAGCTTGCGCACATCCACTCATTGCAATTGAGGTGTGCGCGCTTGTCGCCCTTGGCCCAGAGACCTCTGATGTCTCGAATCCTCGCCTCTGTGATGCTAATCCTGACGTTGAAGCGTACCTTGCGAAGCCAGCGGCGTATATAGCCAGCTTCGTCGCGAACCTCCTTATTCCTGACTCTCTGTGCCTCCTCTTCTTGCCGCTTGTCTATTGTATTCGTCTCGGGCGACTCGAATTCTAGCGTCACCGACGCTTAATGGGCCGTATCTCGCTACAATAGTTGTCTGTTGCTGGAGACTGGAGCGCTTGGCTTGTTTCTCTTTTATCTTCGTCATCTCGGCCGTTGCGGTGATGCCGTTGAGAGCGAGGTTTTGTCGGCTTTCCGCGCCTTCTCATAGACGTATGTGACGGAGGAGTCAACGGCATGTGGGAGTCAACTGATGTGGCTAGACGAAGCTGTACGTAGGCGTGATACCTCTGAATCGTAGAGAGGTTGAGTCTCGGCGTTGAAACATTGTTCCAGTTGAATCGTTGAATCGAGGGCGGCGTGTGTGGCGATGGTGTTGATGGTCTTGCTGCCTGAGGCCCGCCCTGAGGCTCGCTTTCGATCGAGCCCGGCAGGTCCTTAATAGCCACTTCTTCTGTGAGCGACGAGAGCGTGTCTTGAAGCTGAGAGAGCACGATCTCGGGATTGAATGGGAAGAGGCCACATTTCTGCCAAGATGAGAGAATTGTGTGCTTTTTGAAGGTGCGAGTGCGGACCTCTTGAAGATGATATAGAAAATCGGACTTGTTAAAGTCATATGCCCCGTCAGCAATCTCACGATGTAGAACTTGTTGATGCCAGTGTTTGTATGACCTAAAAACGCCGACATCAAGAGGTTGAAGCTGATGTGTAAGATGGGGAGGCATTGGGAAGACCTTAATGTTGTGATCGAAGCAGAAGTGAACCATCTCTTCTGTATAGTGATTATCACAGCTATCCATAAGTAGAAGCCGCTTCTGAAGTGGATCAACTGGTCTCGTGTGTTTCTCGAAGTGTCTGATCCATTCAATCGCGATGACATCGTTAATATACCCCTTTTGGCTGGTTGAAATGATGGTATCGTCGTCAAGGCTGTTGCTAACCCAACGGGCAGGAATTTGGACCCCAGGGAGTATCACAAACGAAGGAATGCAACTCCCAGCTGCATAAATAGCCTCAATCGCTGTGACCGACACTGTATCGTGAGCGTCAGATAAAATAGGGGTATCAATCTCGCGGAAGGTCCAAATAAATGTGCCTTTATGTAGATATCCCACCATGAAGCCCGTCTCGTCGAAATTCCAGGTGTTCTTAGGGAGAATCTCGTCTTTCTCGATCGTTTGAGACCAGCCGCGAAAAAAAGCCTCAACGTGGATGCGATCTTGCATAGCCTTCCGTTTGATGTCTCGCGCTGCTGCTCTTCGACGGTGGAAGAGTTCTCTATGCCGCTGTATAAAGCGCTTGGCCCAGGCTCGCGATGCTGTAGCTCCCACGCCCTTTGCCTTGAGAATGGCGTTGGCGTGTTGTTGGAGCGCACGACCCTGGATGTGGTGCCCCTGTGTGATGCGGCGATGTGCCCAGCAAAATACCTCCTCTTCATCCGAGGGATCAAGCAGGGTACGGTTGCCCCCATTCTCGGCCGTTGAGTGATGCCCATTGACTCGATAATAGAGGCGCTTGTAGGGTACGCCAAGCGCCTTCGCCGCGGCCACAATTGAGCCGTAGAAGCCCTCGTAGTAGAGCTCTGCTCCTGCAATAGTTCGCGTCTCGAGGTTTGCGGTTGTATGGCGCGAAAAGTTGGGTAAGCCGGTGGCAGAATCGATCCATTTTTGGACAGCAGACTCTTTAGCTTTTGAAGAAGCCATAGTCAAAGAATTGGCCTTCCCTCGATGACTATTGAGATAGTGACGTGGCGATAAAAATGTAGTGTTATGACGCCATCGTGAAATGGGTTCTGAATTATTGCCATAGGGGGGTATATGCGGGGTCGAATTGTAACTATGGTAGATATGATCTTAAACATGTCTACTATTTATTGTATGATGCGTGCACACTAATTGAAGTACCCTGTTTTTTTCCAGGTCAACAAGCTTTTTCTAGGTCAACCGCCCCCGTGACTGTGGAGCTGTCACGGGATTGGCTGACTTTGAGGCCCCCTAGTAGGTTGACTGGAAGACAAAATGAGTCTTGGCTGAGTATACGGCCGAATATGCCTCGGCTGAGGAATGGTGAATAAGCCTTGCAAAAGAAAGGTTGATGAGGCTTGTAGATATTGATGTGCCAGTGTAACAGTGCAACAGGTCGAGAACACTCCTCGCAGAGCGGGACGGACTCGCCCTCGGGGAAGCAACTCCGGCACGCAAACGGCGATCCGCGACCGCCCCTAATGGTGGGACTCGACATCCACTGGTCCCATGCCATCTCCCTCAGCTCTCTTGCCGTGCGCTTCCGGTGGCATAGCATGCACATCCGTATCGGCAGCTTGTCTACGTCGTGGAAGGCCCGATAGAAACCTCGCACCGTCGACACCTTCCTCTCGTGCGGTACGGGCGTGCACCGGTTTTGCATTGGACAGCCTTTCCTTTACGGCGAATTCCTCTTCAAGGTAACGTAGGACGCTGGCCAAATCCTCCTCCTGCAACTCCCTTCTCCTCTGCCTCCAAAGGCCGCCTCGAGTACGTTTCGCCGGGGGCCGGTCTCGGTCGGGCTGGCCCATTCTCTTTCTCTGTTCTACGGGCTGCGACGGTCTCGCTGCCGCCTTGTCTCGTCTCGGCCGATCTTGTTCCTCCGCTGCGACCTCGCATAATGGTCGCGGTGGCGAACGTCGGAAGACTGCAGATTCGCTGTTCTGTTTTCCGTCTCTCTAGGTTGGACTGGCCGAACGAAGGGCTCCTTACCGACGTGCAACCCGTCTTCACCCGAGCGAGGCACTTGTCCGGCCGCGTTCGTAGCCTCTCTGGGCTGAACGGGTTGGGGTTTTCTCGGTCTCCCCTCGCGCGTTTCCCCCCAGCGCCGGTTGTACGTGTCACGACCCTGCGCGCCAGCGCAGAGCCTCACCAGTGTCACGTGCACAAGCAGCATCACGTGCCCACGTGCGACCTCGTGCATATGCACATAAGGGCCATTACCTCAGCAGAGCTCAGGCCATTGGTCGTGACTACGCCACCGGAGCGGACTATACCTAATCGGTAAGTCACATGCGCTCCTCCTTTTACTGGAGGAGTAGTCCAAGTAACGTGACTTTGACCTAAAACGGTTAGACTCCTCTTGAAATGGCCTGAGCACTGCTGAGGTAAAGGGCCAGCTCGATCGTGCAGTCTAGTCTTTCTTTGCTCCTTAGCTTTGAGTCTTCGTTCATAGTGCCAATACACCTTTATAGCTGTCGTGGCTCGTGTGCACCTGGCCGTAACAGTACGCTCGATGAGACCCTTCAGAGTTACCCGGGCGCCATCGCCGGACTGCCTAGGCCTAGCCGTCTCAAGACCACCTCTGGCCGCGGCAGACGATTCCCCTATGCCTGCGCCTTCGTTTCGCCCAACTAACACGGCCTCTGGCCCATCACGAGCGTTTATCGATGCTGACCGTGGCGCTTGCCCTCCCTCTAAAGTAGCGCCATCGATGTACCTCGTCCGTTTTCGCTGCTATGTACCTCGCCGTATTCCTACGGGCAACGCTCTTTTGAGTGTTTTCGCTCGTTCCCTTCGCAAGGCCTCCTCGAACGCCGGCGCCTGCTTGGCCTCGATAGGCCGGACTTGGATGCCGCGTCCGCTTGACTTTCGTGGTGTGACACCTGCTTCGGCCCTTGTCCGTCGCGCTAACTGTCCCCTCCGCGATACTCCTTGTCGCAGCGGCGACCGCAGCCACCGTCCCCATTTGACCTTCTCCGGCCACTAACCTAACCTCGCGGCTATCCAGTCAGAACTCCTGATGAGTCCTTCGTCAAGGGTTGGCCACTTCTCTTCCTATATGTATGACGTCAGCATTGAGGAGACGGTAATAGCACTGATGCGAGGCACATGCGTTTGCGTCTTATCCGAAGAAGACCGCTTCAGTAGACTGACCCGAGCGTTCAAGTACAACGAAACTGGCGCGAATCAAGGCAGCCCTAAAGTCAAGAGCAGCGCAAAATAGCAACAGTCGGGGGAGCCAGGAGCCGCCGGGTCACGTTAAAGCTGCGGCGTCTCCGGCACAGTTATATCATCAAAGAGCAGCAGTTTGTCCCTGATGGAGCAATCCTGCATCGCAAATTAGTGCCAAACGACAGCGGCCGCTCCGTAAATACTCGGTTCGCCGCCTTGAGCAGGAACGTTCTCGTCTTGTTCCCCCCTATGGGGTCCGCCGCCGTCGCCACCCCTTCGGCCCCGCCCCCTCGGCCGGCGTCGCGGTCGGCGCCACTTCCGTTGCCCTCTCCCGTCGGCTCTAGCGCGGGAAGGAACTCGGCCGCGGCGGCCACACGCTTCCACACGGGGTCCTCTACCTTCGTCGCATAGTTGGTCATGTAGTAGATTAGGGCCATGGTCTTGCGCTGCGTCGCGATGAACGAGATGTCGTGGTTGTGCCGTAGTCCTACTGCCATCGCCCGGTTCCACCGGTTCACAGGTTTGTAATGGGGGGTAGTTATCCGTACAACACATTTTGCTGAACGTACAACAAAATGTGGCGCAGATCGCGGGGCAGCGCCGATACCGCATTTTTGTGTGCACATTCCCCACTACGAACTGCAAGCGGGCGCAAGCAACGTCCATGGCGCAATTGAAGTCGCAATTGAAGCCGGCCGTGATACCCCTTTACCTATGGAAGGGAGTCGATTTTAGAGTCATACGAAGCGCACCACCGTCAATTTAAACACAATCGCAAAGGAAGTAGCTACAGCGGGTCATCTGTATCCAAAACTCGCCGCGCACGAGCTTCTTCATCCACCCGCCGTTCCATCGCCCCAGCAAGCGCCAGCAGCAAAACCCACCCCGCCGCCCACGCATGCCTCCCCGCCGATGGGTACTGTTGTCCGCACCTGCGGATTGGAAAGGATGAGTGAGCAATCTATTGATGCTTGTCTATCTAGCTACAGATGTGATGATGATCCGAGTCTATATAGACTCAGGCGACGGAGTCGCCATATCCATGGAACCTTCCAGATCCCACTGGAGTCCTCCAACACCCCCCCGTAGCCAGACATGGCTAGATGAAAACAAGATCGAATGCCTGAAGTTGGAATGCAGGATCAGGTGTTTGCAAGACAGGTAAGTCCAAGTTGTCGAACAAACGCAACGTGACGGTCCTGGGTGAGTGGCTTTGTCAGTCCGTCAGCTGTCATGTCCTGTGTTGAGACATGTTGGATGTCAAAGTCTCCTCGAGTTACTCGGTCAATGATCCATTTGTAACGGACGTCGATGTGGCGGGTTCGTGCCGATTTCATTGGGTTGAGTACCGTGAGCTGGGCGTTGCGCGAGTCTGTAAATATGATTGTCGGTTTTGCAGATTGAATCCCAAGATTTTGAACAATGCGGTTTATCCATAGCAAAGCTTGCCCAGTTGGTGTGAGATTCATGAACTCAGCTTCCGTTGTAGATAGCGCTACGATTGTCTGCCTGCTAGATTTCCACAAGATTGGACAACCTGCAAGAAGAACGACATAGCCAGCAGTCGAGTGGCGTGTCGGTATTCGGTCGGCGAACGCCGCGTCCGCGAAGGCGAGAAGTGGTAGATTGGCAATGGAGTATTTTCCACCCAAGCACAGAGATAAGTTCTTGGTACCAATGAGATACCTGAAAAGGTGTTTAAGTAACTGCATATGCTGTTCAGACGGCCCAGCCAGTGATCGGAATGGTCCGGTATGAGTTGGTATTGGTATGGTAAATACCGCCAAGACCTGGTATGGTTTGACAAAAACTTGATACCATGGTATTACCGGTATACCGAATCATACCAGTAACGCTAAAAATAAGCTCAGGTAAGAGGCTCACTGCGGAGAATGACCAGGCAGAATCCGAGCGGCGATGATTCCAGTGTCATCTGTAGGGCTTATTGACCAGTTTTCTGCCAGTTTATCTACTCCATTCAATCATGAATACCATCATCCTCACAATATCGACCTGGCTACCTTGGTCAGGTCGATCCGGCACCGAACGGATGCTTTTCGTCTTTGCTGCCGGGTAGCTATCCCAGGAAGGCCCGAAGGTAAGGCGAGTGTTAGTGCGTATTAGAAAGTACTTCTCATTGCACCCAGTTTTATGAGTTCTTCCATGTAGGACGGAGCATGACCTAACGTATCACTGGCCAGACTTGTCAATCGCGTCGTCGGAGGGACAGGAAAAGCTTAAATGATCCTTTCAATCGAATTACTTCCGTGATGTTGGAGCCCGAAAATTTTTACGTTAGGCTAGTTGGACGATGGACCAAGATCGAATGATCGAAAGCCACCATACCTTAATTGGTGTATGTCATGATCATGGAATCTCCAGCGCCAACCTCGCCATCTTCGTTTACGACAAGTTCAGCATCAATCCGCTCCAGATCTCCTGCATCGTGTCCCGCGCCACACTTTTCCGCTACGACGCCATCGTCTAATTCTGTCCGTTATCCTGAGCCTCCGGACGAATTCGTACAAGACCATGTCACGTACCTGCGTCGCGCGAAGACGACGAAGAAGGCAGCTCGTCTCGGCTCGTCGCATGTGTGGAAGTACGGTCTTCATTACATCCGAGACAGTGACAAGAAAGAGGTATACTACTGTCACGAATGTGCGATCGGAAAGTATAAGCAAGAGTTATTTGTGATCAATGGCACGTGGGGAGTGAGAAATCATCTCGAACAGAGGCACCAGATTGATCCACAAAGCGGCGTGAGGAAACGCGGTGCGACACGGGCGTCTGTATTGGAGCAACAGAAAGCGCAGCTGCTAGTAGCAATTTTTCTGGAAAGATACCGTTGAGAGGTTCAAAGAGCTTTTGATTCGTTGGGTTGTGTACTGCCATATTGCTTTCTTCCAGTTGGAGAACCAGTACTTCCGAGAGCTACTCTTCTTTCTGAACCCTGCTCTACTTAATCACCTCCCAAAGGCTGCGAAAACAATTCGAGGTTGGGTTATGGATGCGTTCCTGTCGAAGAAGCAACAGCTGAAAGAGGACCTCCAGCGGTCGCGGAGTAGAATCTCCATCTCCTTCGACCTCTGGACCTCGCCAAACCCGTACGCAATCCTGGGTGTCGTCGCCATGTGGATTGACGCCACCGGCAAGCGACGAAGTACCGTCCTGGGCATGCGACGCGTTCATGGCGAGCACAGTGGCGAGAATCTTGGGTCGACCGTTCTCGAATTATTGACGGAATATGACATTGGCGGAGATCAGATTGGATACTTCATGCTGGACAATGCTTCATCCAATGATACCGCTGTTGAGTTTATACTCAAGGAGCTCTGCCCATGGATGAAGCCGCAACAGCGTCGCCATCGCCGACTGCGCTGCTTGGGTCACATTGTCAACCTCTGCTGCCAGGCGTTTCTCATGGGTCGAAATTGTGAGAAGCATTTGGCGAAGCTTGAAAGCACCACCAGCGCGGAGATTACGTGAAGGTAGAGGAGCTGTGGAAGAAGTTTGGATGTTTAGGCCGGCTCCATAACCTTGTGCGGTACATCCGGCTTACTCCTCAAAGGCGGGAGGAGTTTGCAGCAATTATTATCGGCGGCCATCTCTCCGAATTCGATGGGCTCGAGCTTATCCAGAACAACTCCACACGCTGGAATTCGTGGTTTCATTCGATCACACGAGCGTTAAATGTTCGAGAACGTTTGGAAATCTTCTCAGCTCGTCATGTACCAGGGAGAGGGTCTCAAGGGATTTCGAACTTCAAACTAGATGGACAGCACTGGTTCGAGCTTGAAAAGATCGAGCTCGCACTAAAAGACTTCTTCGCGGCAACTATGCTTGCTGAAGGAAACAAGACATCCCTCGCTGACTGGTTTTCGACTTTGGACTGTCTTCTCCGCGAGATCAACGAGACGAAGGATCACTACCATGACATTCACGAGGAAGACGACGACGACAACTTCACGTGGAGGTATCTCCAGGTTGTGCAGATGCTGCGTGGTCAAAGTGCGAGGAGTATTACAGCAACCGACAACGGAATTGGCAACATCGATTTCCTGAAGATACTGATCTTCCGCCAGCGTATTACGCAGCTCAAGTACTCAATCCGTATCGAAAGTGGGCATGGTTCAGGCAAGAATGGGTTCTTCAGGGCGACGAAGGAAGACAGAAGTGGTATGAAAGCGCACAGCTGGCGGTGAAGCAGCTCTGGGAGACAGAGTATAAGGAAAGTACCCTGTTGAGGCGCTACCACCTCCAGTCAGGAAGGACAAGGATCCAGACCCAGCATTCGATCGGCAGAGGGAACATAAGCGCATTCGCATAGACGGCCCGGCTGCTGCCACCGATCTGTATGAGCAGTATATTTCGACCGACCGGCTGCATGACGAGGAGGCAGGTTGCGATGAGGCCATCGCCTATTGGCTATCCCGTTATGACTCGCAAAGAGACCTCGCCCGCTTCGCTCTGGATCTATTTGCGGTTTCCCCAATGTCAGATGAGTGCGAACGGCTGTTTAGTAGCGCAAAGCTTGGTATAGTTGATCGTCGAGGTAGGCTTAAGGCAGATATCATAGAGGCTTGTGAGTGTCTACGTGCCTGGTATGGGAAGCCTCGGGCTGAGGATAGCGAAGATAGCGGGGATAGCGAGAATGAAAGCGAATAAGCGATCAAGTTGACAGCTAGTAGCCAATACATTTCCCTATTTTTGCAACCCGCCTCATTCTGAGCGGTCTTGGCGGTATTACTGGTATTACCGGTAAGCCATACCGGTAAGGATATCAGCAGGTGGTATGGTATGGTATAGAGGTCATACCATACCATACCGGACCATTCCGATCACTGGGCCCAGCATTAGCTTCGCAAAGACGGTTTGTTGTGTACGTAATGTCGGGTCTTGTCCCAGTTGAAAGAAAGTTTAGTGAGCCAGTCTGTTTGATGTAGGATTTCTGGAGAGATTTGTCGGACGCCCAAGTAGACGGAAGCTCAAATCCTCGGGGCCATGGTGTTGTTGCTGCATTGAGCGTCTGATATCCATACTTGGATATGATTTTCTCGGTAAACTTCTCCTGTGATAGATGTACGCGCCTGTTCGGCCTATCTCTGATGACCGTAAATCCGAGGAAGTCGTTCACTTCACCAAGGTCTTTCAGCTCAAAGAACGATTGGAGCTGCTCCTTGACGTGGAAGACTGTCTCTTTTGTTGGTGCAGCGACTAGCATATCGTCCACATAGAGGATCAGAATGCAGCCTCGCTTTTCGTCCTTGAATAGACAGAGATCCGCGTCAAGGGGCTCGAATCCAAGGGTCTTCAAAATGGGCGTGATTGTGAGAAACCACCAAAGTGGGCTCTTTCGCAGGCCGTATAGAGCTTTCTTCAAAAGACAAACTCTACTTGTACCGTCCTCGTAGCCTTCTGGCTGCATAACATAGATATTCGTGCCCTCAGGTATGTCCGCATTCAAAAAGGCTGTAGCGATGTCGAACTGATAACATTCGAGGTCGAGAATTGCTGTCCATATTAAGAATAAGTCCCTGCACATAGAAATGGGCACCCCCCTGTTTTGGGCACCCCAAAAAAATCACGACCATTTTCAACACCATTAATTCAATCCCTTCTCACTGCCCACCACCGTGCACTACGATACAATCGTCACCTATTTCTGAAACCTCAGCTTCGGTTTCATCAGATTCTTCATTCTCAGCTGCGTTCACCTCCTCCTGCGCCCGTCGTATTGCCTCAATATTGGCGAACCTCGAATTCGGGCTCGTGACCACCCTCTTCCTTTTTTTCGGCTTGACGGCCGCCAATTGTGTTTCCAGTGCCTGAATCTGCAATTGAGCTTTTGCTAAAAGGCCATCCTTCTCGTCAAACCCTTTGTGATCTTCCTGAACAGCAATCTCTTCGTGGGCACGTCGTCGTCTAGCTGGTTGAATTGAACTACCTGAACCTTCAGATCTTGCGAGCGCCTCGGGGTCGACCACGCAATCTGGGATGTGTCTGATTGCCAGTCACTGGTGGGTAAGTGGCTATTGAATGCATTGGCCACATTTTTCGCGTTCTTTTTGCGTCTGTTGCTGTTCTCCAGCAGAAGAGGGCTCAAAGTGGCTTCGCCATCGACACCGGCCACAAACCCGTCGCTTTCCAGCCACCCTTGATGTTTGACACAGTGAGCGCTTGCTCGCGTGCTTTCTGGTAGCAGGAAAGAAAGTTTTGCTTGCCGACTGGGCTTGAATCGGTCAGGAGGCTGAGAAATCCGACCTGTTTGCGGTAGTAGTGCTTAAGAGCGGAGAAGACAGACAAATCGAGCGGTTGCAGCACATGAGAGGTATGGGGAGGTAAGAAAAGAAGGTGAATCTGATGCTGGTAGCATAGATACATGAAGTCAACCGTCTCGTGACTTCCGTGGCCGTCCAATACTAGCAGTCTTCGCTCCGAAGGGTCGGGTGGCTGGGTTCTTGGAATGAACACCTTTCGAGCCACTCCACCGCAGTTTGGTCCGAAGTCCAGCCGTTCTTTGTCGCAGTGAATTGCCAGTCACTAAAAGTACTGAGATCTTCTGGGAACCACTGTTGCTGGACCGATTTGCCCTTGAAAATGACGGGTGGAGGGAGGAAGGTGCCGGCAGCGGACACGCACTCGATGAACGACGTCCAGACCCGAGAACCAGGCGTCTTCTTTTGTACAGATCGTTTTTCAGCACTGCCAACGACCAGGCCATTCTCCCCAAGTCCTTCCATGATGCCTGCTTCATCCATGTTGTACCTGTTCTCCGGCTTAATAGCCAGAATCTCGGGAAGGAAGAAATTGTTGAACCAAGGCCGAATTACCTCGGTAGAAGCGCCGTTGACACGCGCAGAGTCTCTGTGATGGCACTTCTGGGTCCGAACTGCAGGATTTCGTCTTAAAAATGCTTGCATCCAGTGTTTTCCGAGCGGTGTGTGGTCTCCTTTGACGGCGAGCATGCGCTGCGCGAACTGCCTGATCTGCGAGTGAGTGGGAGGAAGGCCCAAGGCGTCCTGAATGAGAATCCATTCGGTAAGTTGCTTTTCCTGTGTCTGAGAAAGCCTCTGAAGAGCAGAAAATGCATCCTTTCTGCATTCGTGACCATGCATGCGATTGTAAAGAGTTGCCCTCGGACGCCCCAATCGCGAGCAGCCTTCTTGGCGGATCCGCCATTTTTTTTAGCAGATTGGATGCGTTTCCGCGGTGAAATTTGCTGTTGAAGTTGACGCAGCCGTTTAGGTTGGGCACCCATCTTGGGTGCCCAAAACAGGGGGGTGCCCATTTCTATGTGCAGGGACTTATTTTGACTGATGTCGTGCTTGCAACGGCAGCATACACATCCTGGACTGCCCAGCTGTCGTGTTCCTCAAAATTCCCACAGACAACCCAGCGGGCTCTGCCGACCAGTTCTCCTGTCGGAAGTTTCTTCTCGTCGAGAACCCATTTTCCGGGAAGTAGTTTTGCATCGTGGGGTAATTCTTCTAGTGTCCATGCACTTCGATCTTGGAGGTACTTGTACTGCTTGTCAAATGCTGGTTTCCACTTCGTCTCCCAATCTGGGGACACTCGAGCCTTTCTGTATGACTTAGGAACGGGTAGCCTTTGCAGCGAGATTGCAAGGCTTTCCGCCTTCATTGCTGTCAAACAAAGTGTTTCTAGACGGTTTATCGGAGAGACTACGTCTGGGGGTAACAAAGCTAAAGCCTGATCTCCCGAATTGCCGCGATGAAGCTTTTGATAGTACCCTGCGGGTCGCTGCGCGTTTTGACGACTCGGTCGAGGTAAACTCACGACCGACGTGGTGTAAGTCTCGCTTGTTTCTGGAGGGATTGGCCGTTCATCAGCCAGTCCGTCAATTTCCTGGCTGTCTTCGGAGTCTGACAGAGTATTCACAGAAGAATCGTGGGATTCATCCAGCTCTTGCGTTATCTCCGGCGTTGGCAGATGATGGTCTTGCGTTTCTTCGATGGACGGACCCTTATCAGTCGTCCTTCCTCCCGGTTCGATGGTTGACAGCGAATCAGATATTCGCTCAACGATGGTTGCTCCAGCTTCTTCTTCTTGAACTTCGTCGAGAAGCGTAGCTTCGTACTCAATTGTATCGACTTCTTCGGCGCTTGCCGACTTTTGTGGTTCCTGGAGGAGTTTCTCGTAAAAGCGAACATCACATGCCCGGACGATTCGATTCCGAGCTGGCACGTAAATGTGGTAAATTTTGCCATGAATGCCTTCCCAGCCAACTAACTTTCCTTCTTCAGCTCTTGGAGCCATCTTCCTGGCCTGTACGCGCCGTTCTTTCTTGATGTGTACGTATGCAACACAACCAAACGTGCGTAGGTGGCGAATGTAGGGTTTGTGAAGTTCCTCGTTAACTCGGAGAAAACTGGCAAAGACCTCATGAGGTGAGAGTCCTTGGTTAGATTTGCACGGAAGCAGGTTAAGAACTTTGACGACGGATTCTTGAGCATAGGGCCACAAGAATTCCGGAAGCTTGGAGTGAATCATGATGCATCGAGCGAGCTGTGTGATCTTCGATCCAGCCCTCTCTGTCAATCCATTCTGTCTGGGTGTACCAGGCACGGTCGGTTTGAGACTGATTCCGTTTGCTTGGGCCCAGGGTATCAACTCTGTTGTCCAGTTGAAAGACACATCATTGTCCATGCCATATTCTTGGACCTGATATCCAGTTGTTCGTTGAATGTAAGCATCAAAATCTTTCGTAGCTTGAAAGAGCTCGTCTTTGTGTCGAAGAAATCGAACCCAATGGTATCCACAATGGGCATCTACTGCGTGCCATGTATAGCGAAATTGGCGATGACCTAGTGGCTTGTTCTCGATGAGGTCGATCCGAACGAGACTCAGCGGTCGGGCTGGTCGCACAGGCGGCGTACGACTGACGATTAGGCAGACTTTGCGAGGTGGCATGTCCTGCAATGGTGTTCCTTTGCTTCCTGTTTGAGATTTTGATCCCTGCCTGTTCACAGGCCTTGAGAACGATTTCTGGCGATGCATGCATCAATCGCTCGTGCATGACTTGATAAGATACTGCCAGGAGCATGTTGCCCTGGTTTTGTTGTCGAGTCGTCGGCATTTCCGATCGGATGACTGCCACATTGTTGATCCAATCGATCATGGCCATCTCCGTCTTGGAGTCCTTGTGGATGATGCAGTCTTTGAAGCCGTCGCGAATCGCTGAAGTTCGAGCCGTCGTCGACAACCACGATGATCCAAACACCCCCGTCTCCACGATCCGCGCCTGGACCCTGGGATGCCTCTTTAGTGTATTTCTCTCCTTCGTTAATCAGCTATTCTCTATCCGACAACCAGCCATTCGATTCGATACGAATATTGCCCAGCTCCTAGCCTTCCCACTCGGCAAAGCTTGGGAGAGGTGGATGCCGAAGTACGAGTTTACCATGCCATTTACCGGCCAGAAGGTCAACCTGAACCCAGGTCGCTTCAACAAGAAGGAACACATGCTTATTGCCATCATGGCCAACACTTCGAGGAGCTTACCTTACACGAACTACATCATTTGGACACAGGTGCTTCCGCAGTACTTCAATCAGCAGTACGCGCGCAACTTTGGGTACATGTTTCTCAACGCCTTCGCGACGAACTTTATTGGCTATGGCCTTGCTGGCCTGACGAGAAGATTCCTCGTCTACCCTTCGTATTGCGTGTGGCCCATGTCCCTCGTCACAATTGCCCTTAACACTGCCCTTCACAACGAAGAAAACCAGTCCGTAATGGGTCCGTTCAAGAAGAAGTGGTCAATGTCGCGCTATCGGTTTTTCTTGTACACCTTTGCGGCCATGTTTGTCTATTTCTGGTTCCCAAACTATCTTTTCCAAGTTCTGTCGTACTTTACCTGGATGACCTGGATCGCACCGGAAAATCTCAACCTGAATATCCTTACAGGCATGCACAACGGCCTTGGAGTAAGCAATGCCTCTAGTCGAGGGACTTTGGACAGTGTTAACGCATATGCAGCTGTTTAACCCGATCCCGACATTTGACTGGAACGTCATCTGCTTTAGCACAGACCCTCTGGTCAGTCTGTTTCGAGCCCCGAAAGCCAATGCCTGTTCTGATCATGTCTCTAGATGATCCCTTCCTTTGCAACCTTCAACGCTGTAGCTGGAATGTTCATTACAGGGCTCTTTGTCCTCGGTGTGTGGTACACCGTACACGAATACTTGGAACACGGGCTTCCTACCCATTAACACCAATCGGGTCTATGACCACTTCGGCAAGCTCTATAACGTCTCTCGAACCCTCGACGATCGCGGCATGTTCGATCTGACCAAGTACATGGACTACTCGGCTCCGCAGGGTGGCGATCTGTTGAAGGCTGTGTAGCGATTGAAGTATTCATTGAAGGTTTTTAAGAAATCAGTGACTAAATACAGAGAAATGCCACCTTAATATATCACTTCCAAGCCACTGTCAGGGGCTCCTCAGAGAGCATTTCAGGGGTTCAGGGGTTCTGATGACCCACTTCAACACTCCCACTCGCTCTGAGGACGGCTCCGACAGACAGGCGAAGCCGCGAAGGTGCTGTGCAGCAGTGTGCTGTTTCCTAGGGCCCTCGCAAAACCCCAAAAAACACCCCCTTTATGGGTGAAAAAGATCGGGAAAGAGTGCGCCAGTTTTTAGGTATCCAACTGACTGCAACTCGTGATAAGTGGCGAGATATAGTACCTTTAGGTAACGTGAAATAGTAATGACCCTTAATGGGGGTAACCTCCTTAATATGCCACTTCCAAGCGGCTGACAGAACCCCCTGGGGGCGCCTTTCGGGGGTCCGGATGACCGACCTCAAACTCGCTCGAAGGGCGGCTCTGTCAGACAGTCAAGGTGCCGTGCAGCGGCGATGATAGTCCCGTCTAGGCCCTCGCTAAAACCCAAAAGCACCTTCGAGGGTAAGAAACACAGGGAAATAGCGCGCCTACGGGTTCGTTGCTTGCAACGCGTGGACTGCGGAGGGATGACCAGATTGATCTCGCGGAGTGGCCATCAGAGCTCCGTCAGTGTGGCTGCCTTCTTGCAGAAGGGTCTTCGCCAAGGGAGGGCCAGATTGATCTCGCGGAGTGGCCTCAGAGCTCCGTCAGTGTGTAGAGGCTTGAGTGCCTAAGGAGGGCTGAAGAAGCCTGTGACACTCCCACTCGATTAGAGGCTGAGCAGTGTGGTGCTTCTAATCGGACTTCTTGACACATAGAGAGTCCGGAAACGGAGGAAGGCATCTCGTGGCAGGGCCTTGGTGAGTCCATCAGCAGGCTGCTTGGTGCCTTCGATCTTGATAAGGCTGACGGTCCCTTCTGCAACCTTCTCTCGGATGAAGTGCCACTTAAGAGAGATATGCTTAGTGCGAGAGTGGTGGTGAGGTTGTTGGCCAGATCTATAGCGCCCTTGTTGTCCTCGTGTATGGCTGTTGGCCCAGCCTGTGTGGGTGGCATAGGTCCTTCATTAGGGAACGCAGCCAGATGGCCTCCTGGGCTGACTGGGTCAGGGCCACATATTCGGCTTCTGTGGATGAGAGCGTGACGCAGGGCTGCCTCTTGGAGGTCCAGCTGATGGCTGCGGAGCCGAGGCTGTAGAAGAAGCCTGACGTGGATCGTCGGGTGTGCAGGTCCGCCGCGAAGTCCGCGTCAGTGTAGCCTTGGATCGGCTGCAGTGGTCCTCGAGGACTAGCACGGAGTCAATGGTGCCCTTGAGATATCTCATGATGCGTTTCACAGCTGTCTGGTGCTGGGGCGTTGGGTTGGCAAGGTGTCTGCAGCAGGCGCCAACGGAGAAGCAGATATCGCTCCTAGTGCCGAGCATCGCATACATCAGTGAGCCTACCCTCTTGGCATAGGCGGCCTGATACTTGGGAGGGGCGTGCCAGCCTTCTGCGGGAGGCTGGAGCGGATCTGCGGCCATAGGGGTGTTCGCTGGGTTGCAGTCTGACATGTTGTAGGTTCTAAGGATCTTTTCGATGTAGGCTCGCTGGGACAGTTCGATCCGACGCCTGGCCCTATCTCTAGTGACCTTAATGCCTAGGTAATGGGAGCAGGGACCTAGGTCAGTCATCTGGAAGCGTTTGCTGAGGGCATCCTTGATCCGTTGGACCTCCGAGGACAGGCTCCAGTGAGAAGTAGGTCGTCGACGTAGATTGCGATGATGCTCTTGCCGCGGACGAAGACGCTGACGTCTGCCGCAATGGGCCTGTAGCCTAGTGTCTCAAGAAACTTGGCGATGGTCTGGAACCAGATGCGAGGCGCCTGCTTGAGCCCATAGATGGCCTTCTTGAGCCTGCAGACGCGGCCAGTGCCGTCTTCGAAGCCCTCTGGCTGCTCGAGGTAGACTTCTTCGTCGATATCCCCGTAGAGGAAAGCGGTCTTGACATCCATTTGCTCGATCTCTAGGTCTTCAGCGGCGGCTATGGCAAAAATTGTTCTGTAGCTTTCTGGCCTGACCACTGAGGCGAAGGTTTCGCTATAGTCGATGCCTTCCAGTTGCTCGTAGCCCATTGCAACGAATCTGGCCTTATGGCGGACAATTTTGCCGTCAGTCCCTCCTTTCAGCCTATAAACCCACTTCCCTCGCAGGGCCTTCCTGCCTGGCGGAAGGTCAGTGAGCTCTCAGGTCTCATTGACCTGCAGGGACTTGATTTCGTCAGCCATAGCGGCGTGCCAGTGCTTGGCGCTGTCTGACTGCATGGCCTGTTTGAAGGTAAGGGGCTCGTGGTCTTCCCATTGCTGTGAGATGGCCATAGCCATTGCGTAGGCGTGATCGAAATTATAGCCGTAGCGCAGAGGGGGAGCTCTTGGTCTGGTGGACCTTCTGACCGACGGCCTGATCGGGTCAGCGGCGGCATGGATGGTTGAGTAAACAGATGGTTCGGGGCTTGTGTCTTCCAGCAGGTCTAGCAGGACACTGTCGTCTCCATACGACACCATGTTGTCTTCAGAGCCGTCAGACAGGTCTAGCGTGGAATCTGGGGTTTGACTATCTTCAGGCTCGGGCGAGAGCGCTGTGGAGGTTGCTGGTGTGTAAATCGGCGTTGTCTCGGCCGTTGTATCGTTGCCGTTGCGGAGTGTCCGAGGCGGGCGTTCGGCTTGCTGGCCTTCCTCCTGGATCAGCTGGTCAAGGCTTTGACCAGTCTTGGACCTCTTGGGTTGTCTCTCGGAGACCGCAGGCTTGGCGATGTGTTCGACAAAGATAACGTTGGGAGACACGAAGACCCTGTTGTTGCTATCAAGCAGGACGTAGTTACAGTGCCCCTGGTACCCTAGCATTCTGCACGGGATACCCTTAGGCTGTAGCTTCCTGCGTTTGGCCGCTGGTAGTAGTGCCCAGGCCTTTGATCCGATGACTCGAAGATGGGTAACATCAGGTTCCTCGCCGTGCCAGGCTTCGTACGGTGTGATAGGTGACTTGGCCGCAGGGGACATATTGCGGACGTAGGTGATGCTCTGGAGCACGTAGGGCCACCATTTGCGCTCGAGGCCCGACCGAATTAGCGTAGGATTGAGCTTCACTTAGGACCCTATGGAAGACCTCGATAGCGCCGTTTTGCTGGTGCTGTTCCGTGGCGGCGTAGATGACCTCGATCGCCTTGTCGGTGCAGAAGGCGTCTAGCAGCTTGGAGCGATTCTCACCTCCCAGGTCCATCCGCACGTAGAGGCACCGCCTGGTAGGCGTCTCATGCTTCTGAAGGAACGCCTAGAGGATTAGGAAGAGGCTGTCTTTGGTTGCCACGCTAAAGGTCCATCCGTACTGAGTGTAATCTAGGATGGCCACCCAGTATCTGCTGCCGTCGTATCCAATGTCTGGAAACGGCCCACAGATGTCAATGTGCAGGCTTTCTAGCGGCCGGGTTCCCTTTCGAATAGAGTGCCTATGCGGTCCTTCCTTGATCTTGCCAATAGCGCAGGCCTCGCACGGGTCTTGTGGCGCTTGGGGTCGCAGTCCAGTGGACATCCCTTGCAGCCTCTTGATGTTGCGCTCGCTGAGGTGGGCCAGTCTCTCATGCCAGATGCGTAGATTAGGATCTTGGACCTGCGAGGTGATCAGGGCAGCTGGATCGCTGCTGACGGCAGAAGGGTTGCTATGACGCCTGATTTCATCAGTAGCTTCGTTCCAGAGGGTCAGGTCAGGATCCTGGGTGCGCAGGCTAGCCAGTGCAGCGTTGATGTCTCTGTTTGGCTCGTCAATCACATAGACACCATTAGCCACAGTGGCCGTCAGCACGATCTGGCCGCCTTTAACGATGGCGGCGTGCTCGCCGTTGCCAGGATCCAGCACTCCTTGCCAAGGGCTGCGACGGACACCAGATTGACGCCTGCGTCAGGGGCACAGAGGGCGTCTTGGAAGGTAAGCAGGTGGTCTTTTCCACAGACCTTCACTGGCAGGTCATATGTGCCGGTGCCCAGGGGAAGGAACTGGGCTCCCTTGGCCCCTGTGTAGGGAAGACCAGTGTAGGGAACAAGGGACCCGAATTTGCTTCGGCGGCAGAAGATGTGCTGTGAGGCGCCTGTGTCGAGGATGTGGATCTGTGAGAGCAGCGTATGCTGAGCCGCCAGTGCTGCCGGATCCAGATCATCACACACTCCCACTGGATTGGCAGCACCAGGAGGGGCGAAGTGTATAGTGCATGAGAAGGTGAAACGGGCATAGCGACGTTGGCAAGAGCCTGTGACTGTGACTGTGGTTGGTCATTGGCTTGGCCTTAACCTAAGAGAAGAAGAAGACAAATTAATAAGGGAATTACTAGGGAGCCCGTCTCTTAAAACTCTTGCTCGTCAAAAGCTTTAAAATTGAGTAGATTCTGTATAAGTGAAGTTGGTCCAATTTGTATGGAGCGGCAACATTTTTGCGGAGCATAAGGGGGGGGTGAGCAGAAGGGGGGGTAAGCATGGTACTTGGGGGATACCGATTTCGATGTAGTGGAAAAGAAGGCCCGAAGAGACGGGACGATGTGGGATGCGGTGCTCCATTTAGTGCAGTTAGACAATATTACTTGCAAATTTCATGCATCTTGTCGAGTGGTGGGTGCTAGCACGGCTAAACAGGGTCGTCGGTGGGTATTGAAAACGGACCGGAGCCTATGACAGCGGTAGCCGCGCCCAGGGTGCTGATCCAGAATCCAGACGTCTCAACAAGCAGTCAGTTTTCAAGCAGTACTGATTACTGATTGATAAGGTTAGGCATACCGGTAGGAGCTAAGCGTTTTCGTGACCAGCACGAGGCAGTCTTTCTCAACAGCCTATAATAGAAGCCCCAATATGTCAATGCACCATGGCCCGATGGACTGAGATCCCTCGCCCTCTAGCTCTCTATGGCCAGGCCCCGTTGGCTTGCTGAAGCCAACACTGCTGGCATTAAGTTCAGCCCCCGATGAGGGGGTTCTGTCACCCTGTCTTTGTCAAAAAGGAGGTACATATTCTCGTCACCTCGTAGATACAAACAGTCTCGCTTGGAGCACAGAGGGGGACCTGGCTGCAGTGTGGCACGAGTCCTGTATCCCAACAGCCGGATGATGGATCCATCTTGTTGCTTTTGAATCCATTTGTAGCCTCACCCATGACACTGCGACCTCGGACATGAGAGAAAAAGACAGTCGGCCGGAATTCCCCACCCCTTCCCTGCGCGTATGTACGGGTGGCCATGACGGCGCCGTTTCATCGTCGTCATTCCGCAACCGTCGTCGACTCGGCCTTTGACGTCTTTTTCCTTCCTCTTCCCCTCCTCTGTACTTCTCCTCTCTCACACTCGATTCCCACCCTCTCTCTTCCCCATAACTTGAGCTTGCCGGTTCGCGGACCGCCCTGGGCCGCCTTTTCCATCTTGACCCGTGCGATCCGCCGCCGCCGAGTCCTTTTTGCTAGTTTGGCGGGACGGTCTGCCGCGGTCCGTTTGGTTTCCGGAGTCCCGTTTCGTGTTTCCGTCGGCCTATTCGCAGTCTCTTGGGCCTCGTCACGGACCTCGTTGTGGTGAATATCTTACCTCTCACCCCCCCTTTCTCCCCGAGAAGGAGGCTCCCACGACGTCGGCCTTGATTCACCATTTGCCTCTGTCTTATATACGTCGTCGGCACGTGTGTGTGAGACAGTGTGTGTGTGAGCGAGCAGGACCATGGCGGCAGCCGAGTTGCCGACCACGGGCGTGCGGCGTTCCACCTTCGAGGAGGACACGACCGACGTCGAGCGAGAAGACGGCTCCGCCAAGCCCCATGATGAAAAGACTGCGGCGAAGACCGGCCCCCGGGACCAAGAGGATCGGGCCGGACCCGACCAAGACCCGGCGTCAACGGCCCGGCCACCGGCAGCGGCAGCGGCAGAGGCCGGGACAGACTCGCCGAGAGCGGGCGCAAGGGCATCGAGACGTTCCTCGTCATGTTCGCCCTCTGCCTGGCCCTCTTCTAGCGGCGCTCGACATGACCATCCTGGCAACCGCAATCCCCACCATCTCGAGCCACTTCGACTCGAGCCTCGGCTATGTGACGGCCCAGCACCGTCACACCCCCTTGCATACATGACCCACATGTTGTTGAGCCAACGGCCCACACGTACGGAAGGCATATTTAGGGAGAGGACACCCAGTTGTGTTGTTCTGTTCTCCTTTCTATTCTTCAGAGCAGAATCTTCGTAATAGAGTCCACAGCCTTCTGGCTCAGTCCGTGACCGTCACACTATTCTGCTCTCTCACAACCATGCCATCGCTGACGAGCGATTCATAAATACGCCACGACCAAACCACGCCATCGCTGCCGAGCGATTCAAAAATACGTCACGACCGAACCATGTTATCGCTGCCGAGCGATTCATAAATACGCCCAAGATCGAACCATGCCATCGCTGACGAGCGATTCATAAATACGCCACGACCAAACCACGCCATCGCTGCCGAGCGATTCAAAAATACGTCACGACCGAACCATGTTATCGCTGCCGAGCGATTCATAAATACGCCCAAGATCGAACCATGCCATCGCTGCCGAGCGATTGATAAATACGCCCACGACCGAACCACGCCATCGCTGCCGAGCGATTCATAAATACGCCCAAGATCGAACCATGCCATCGCTGCCGAGCGATTGATAAATACGCCATGAACAAGACCACGACCAAGACTAAGACAAGGAAGCAGCCAAGAGATCAGGTTCAAGAATTGTGCGGCAGCTTTACGGCGGTTCCACGACGAATATCCCGAGGCACCAGGACCGCCTGTACGATTGGGCAATTGGCAGAATGGCTGCTAGCAGCAGCGGAAGACAGGTGGGCAGAGAGTCACGACGATGACAACAAGGCTGTCAGCCGTGGGTATGAGCGACGCCGACGGCGACGACACTCGTGAGGAGCCATCTCCACCGTTGGTGTTCGACGGCTTTAAGGGGGGGGTAGTGTGACGGCCCAGCACCGTCACACCCCCTTGCATACATGACCCACATGTTGTTGAGCCAACGGCCCAAATGCCAGAGGTGGTGCCCCTGGCGGATGTGAGGGCGGGTCCAGATCCAGCTAGCCCGTCGCCATCGACGCGTCCGACGCGAGGGATGACGCCCAGCGGACGAGTGCAAGATACGTTGCAATCACTGGAAAATGCGTCCGCAAGGGCTTCGAAGCGAATCACGACGCGAACGACGCGAGTCACGTCAGTGGGCAATGATGGCGAAAGAAGCGACGAAGTGAAGTCACGCAGCAATGTGGAGACCGCCAAATCGATGATGCAGAGAGTCCTGGAGACGCTGGGGAAGATGGGCAGTGAAATGGTGGAGCTGAAACATCGGGTATCCGAGCAAAACGACATGATCAGGAAGTTGAACGCCACTGTCTACAAGCAAAGCACCATCATTCAAGGACAGGAAGATCTCATCCGAGGCTTGGAGGTCCAAGTCCAGGAATCAAGGAAGAGTTTCAACGCAAGAGCGATGAGCACGACGCGGAATTAAAACGGGGACATCGGGATCTTCAGAGAGAGTTGCCGCTGTGAAAGAGCAATTGGCCCAGCTCACGCAGAACCTGAATGCTTCGGGAGGTGACTCTGTCGAGCGGCACTCGAGCAACGTTTGCCGACATTGCGCGTACACTGCCAGCGAGCCCGCCGACCAGTCTATCCAGCGTAGCTGTCCCAAGAAAGCAGCAGACAGCCAGCGATCCTCTCCACTGTACCATCGACACATCTCGCGTCAGCGAGTCGAAGAAGAACAACGCGCAAATCGGATCAATTCGCCAGGCCATCGAGACTGAGATGAGAGCGATGAACGGACAAGAGACCTGGAGGTGCGCAGCAGTCGTGAGAGAGTCCCGGAATGCCGACCGAGTCAAGATCGTCTGCAGAGACGAAGCCGAGCTTCAGATGGTCAAAGAGGCTGCGCAGAAGACAGCCGTGGAAGGTTCGCGAGTTATGCGAGACCAGCTGTATCCGGTCCGAGTCGACAACGCCAACCGCACAGCAATCCTTGACGCGGAAGGCAACGTTCTGCCTGGAGCGATCGAGGCCTTGAGTGCCGAAAACAGAGTGACCATTGGCAAGATTTCCTGGTTGAGCAAACGAGAGTCTGGCAAAGCGTACGGATCCATGGTGGTGTATGTCACCAAGAAACGCGACGCAGAAAGGCTTCTGGAAGGGTACTAATTTGACCTAGCGGGAGAGTCAGCCACCACCTATGTATTCGAGCCAAGAACGGGACCAATCCAATGCTTCAACTGCCAGGAGATCGGTCACAAAGCATATTCATGCAAGAAACAGCGGACATGCGGCAAGTGCGCAAACGTTGGGCATCACCACCGGGAATGCACCGCGATTGAACCAAAATGTGTCCCGTGTGGCGGACCGCACGAGTCATTCAGCTGGAAGTGCAGGATGAGGAATCCGAGCAGTGATGCTTGAGTCCCTCCGCATCCTACAGCTGAATGCACACAAGAGTGATGTGGTGCAGCAGAGTCTGATGAACGACGAAGACCTAAAGGATTTTGCCGCACTGGCTATATCTGAGCCACATGCGCGCAATATCGACGGAAAGGTGGTGACGAGTCCTACGGGACACCATAACTGGACAAAGATGATACCGACGTGTGTTCGTGATGGCCTATGGCCGATTCGCAGCATGCTCTGGATCCGAAGTGACCTTGAGGCGGAGCAAGTGCCTGTGCCGTCGGCCGATCTCACAGCAGCGGTACTCCGACTTGAGGGAAGGGAGGTGATGGTGGTGTCAGTGTATGTGCAAGGAAAGAACGACGAGGCGCTGACGAACGCGATGGAACTATTGCGCGACGTGATCGATCGCTTCCGCAATGGGACAGGGAGACGTACCGATGTGGTTTGGCGGGGACTTCAACCGCCACGACCTCCTCTGGGGCGGAGATGAAGTGTCAGCGAGCAGACAAGGGGAGGGCCAGCCCATCATTGACCTGATGGACGACTTTGGTCTTAGCAGCCTTCTCCCGAGAGGAACGAAAACGTGGCAAAGGTCGGACGAGGAGAGCACCATCGACTTGGTGCTGGCATCGGCGGAACTGGCGGACGAGTTGACATCCTGCGTGATTCATCCAACAGAGCACGGATCAGACCATAGAGCGATCCAGACGACCTTCGACATTCGAGTGCCGGAGCGTACCTTTCCGCAGCGCCTGATGCTCAAGAACGCGCCGTGGATCGCCATCGCAACCAGGGTCGAGGACGAGCTTCGGCCTCTTCCGTGGACTGTGGGGGTGCAGACGCAGGCGGATCAGCTCATGCGGGTGGTCACCAAGGCGCTTCGAGATCTGACTCCTCGAGCCCAGCCGCCGCCATACGCGAAGCGATGGTGGACAAAGGACCTGACGCGACTCCGTCGGACGTACACGTATTGGCGCAATCAAGCAAGGGCGCAGCGAAGAGCCGGTCAATCGCGTCCGGATCTGGAGCAGCGCGCCAAGGAGGCTGCGAAGGAGTACCACGACAATTTGCGGAGACAAAAGAAGGCCCATTGGGATGACTTCGTCATCGAAGGAGCAACATCTGGAGGGCTGCCAAGTATCTGAAGCCTGGTACGGAGATGACGGATGACAAGGTGCCCCCGCTGAAGAGAGCCGACGGTTCGATCACCGAAAGCAAGGGCGAGCAAGCCGAGGAACTCCTGAGCACCTTCTTTCCGCCTCTGCCAACGAGGATCGAGCCGGAGGGTGAACGTCCGCAGAGAGAAGAAATAGCCATGCCAGACCTCACCTTGCAAGAGATTGAGGAGAAGGTGATGGCGGCGAAGCCCTGGAAAGCGCCTGGTGAGGATGGCCTTCCTGCGATCGTGTGGAAGAAGCTCTGGCACGTGGTCAAGCACCGGGTGTGGACGCTCTTCAGCTCATCGTTCCGAGAGGGCGTCGTGCCTCATCAATGGCGAACGGCCAAGATCATCCCTCTGAGGAAACCAGATAAAGGAGACTACACCCTGGCCAAGGCGTGGCGACCGATTTCTCTCCTGTCGACGCTTGGCAAGATTCTGGAGGCAGTCGTCGCGGAACGTATCAGCTATGCAGTCGAGGCTCAAGGGCTTTTGCCCGCGAACCACTTTGGTGCACGGAAGCGCAGGTCCGCAGATCAAGCACTCGTGCTTCTGCAGGAGCGAATCTACAAGGCCTGGAGAACGGGCAGAGTGCTCAGCCTCATCAGCTTTGACGTCAAAGGCGCATACAACGGAGTGTGCAAAGAGCGAATGCTCGAAAGGATGAAAGCCCGAGGCATCCCGAGTCGACTGGTCAATTGGATAGACGCATTCTGCTCGGGACGGACCGCGTCGGTGGTTGTCAACGGGCACACATCCGAGCAACAAACCCTGCCGCAGGCCGGCCTACCCCAGGGATCTCCTCTGTCGCCAGTGGCTTATCTTTCTTCAACGCAGACCTGGTGCAAAGACGGATCAGTAATAACGGTGGCTCCATCGCCTTCGTGGACGATTACTCTGCCTGGGTCACGGGGCCAACGGCAGAGTCAAACAGAGATGGTATCCAGTCGATTATCGATGATGCGCTTGATTGGGAGAAGCGCAGCGGCGCCACATTTGAAGCAGAGAAGACATCCTTCATCCACTTCACACGCATCGCGGAGCGTGACAGCGACCTGCCTCTCATCATCAAAGGAAACGATGTCAAGCCGAAGAGCAACGTGAAGCTGTTGGGAGTCATCATGGACAAAGCGCTTCGCTTCAAGGAACACATCGCCAGAGCGGCCGCCAAGGGGCTGGCCGCGGCCATGTGCTTGAAACGACTGAAGATGGCTTCGCCACGGATGGCGAGGCAACTGTTCGTCGCGACCGTGGCGCCAGCCATGGACTATGCCTCAAACGTGGTCGCACGCGTGCGGGGTGAAAGAAGCGGTGTGGATTGGCAGGGCCCAGCGAATCGGAGCCCAGGCTGTCACGGGAGGCTTCCGCACGGTGGCAACGGCAGTGGCCGAGGCCGAGGCCGGCGTGCAATCGTTCCGAGAACGGCATGCTCAAGCGGCAGCGAAATTCTGGATAAGGATGCGGACGCTCCCGAAGACGCATCCTCTGACATCGTTGAGGCTCAAACTGAACAGGAGGTATGCGTCGCCAATGCAGAAGCTCGCCTCGGCGATGGGAAGAATAGATACCAAGCGCCTGGAAGTCATCCACGAGTTCGCACTGGCGCCGTGGGACGAACGAGTGCAGGCAACGGATGAGACAGACCGAGTGGAGGTGCTGAAGTCGGATGACCCGGAGGACATCACTATTGCGACGTCCAGCTCGCAAAGGAAAGGCAAGGTCGGGTTGGGAGGCGTCGTTCGGGATGCTTCCCGCGACAGCGTAGACGAAGTGCTGGCCAGCTACTCCGTCACCTCGGCTCCAGTGATGAGCAGAATGCCTACACAGCAGGACTCGAGGCAATCGCCACGGCTCTGAGGTGTGTACCTCTCGGTCTTCATGACCGAGATCTCACGGTTGTGACGAGCAACCGCTCTGTCCTGCAAGTCATCGGGCGGCCACGGCAACAGTCTGGTCAGTGCACGATACGGGCGATATACGGATCTGTTGAGTATCTGGCGAAAAGAGGCTGCAGAGTCAGACTTCGTTGGGTGCCTGCAAAGAATGAGGAGTTCACCCTTGGGCCACAGGCCAAAATGCAAGCGAAAAGAGCGACGCGAGACGAGTGCATCGCCGAACCAGCAACGTTTCAAGCAAGATCAACGACGTTACGACTGCTGCTCAACGAAAACGCTCGCGTTCGTCAGATCCCGGAAGGGGTTGGAAAGCACTCAAAGCGCATCGATAAGGCATTGCCGGGCAAGCACACCCGCAAGTTGTACGACGAGCTAACAAGAAAGGAATCCGAAGTGTTGATACAACTTCGAACTGGCAAATCGCGGCTGAATAGCTACCTCTGCAAAATCGGGGCGGTGGAATCGGATGAGTGCACTTGTGGGCAGTCTGCAGAAACAGTGGAGCATTTCCTCTTTCGATGCAGAAGATGGACGGTACAACGAGAGACCATGCTGCGATATGCGCGCGGAAAGGTGGGAGACTTGTCTTTCTTCCTAGGAGGCAAGGCAGAGTCAGACGACGACAAGTGGCAACCTGATATTGGGGCTGTGCGTGCGACGATACAGTTCGCATTGGCGACAAAACGCTTCAGTATGGACCGTTAACGGGCCATGTACTGATCAAGAACAACCATACTAACACAACAGCCTTCAACTTGGCAGACCGCGCTTCAGTCGCTGAAGGTAGGACGCTGAACACTTGGAGAAACTGACCTTCAAGCAGGCCTGTCATGTCACAGCGAACGAGGCTGGAAACAGATGGAAAGAAGCGTTGGGCTTTAGGTGAGGAGAAACCATGTATAGTAGGTACGTAGCTTAGCGTAGTGGCTCTATGGGGGAACCCTTCGGGCGTAATACAACCAAAAAAAAAAAAAAAGGCACACGTACGGAAGGCATATTTAGATAGGGATCGAAAGGAGGAACAATGCCGCGGAAGAGCAAGAACAGCACCAAGCGCAACTCGAACCAATTCGAGTTGCTCGATGACGAGGAAGACGGTACGAACGACAATGTGGCCTGTAGCATCGTGGCCAATTCGACAAGCGCGGCCGACGCGACAAGGACCAGCGCCCGCGGTCGCCCTCTGAAACCGACGCTGCAATTCGACCCTGAACCGCGCCCATCACGAAAGAAATCCGCCGTCCCGAAAGCGAAACCGACGAATGCCGACCCCAATGCCAACGAGGATTCATTGGCGCGAATCGAAGCTCTCCTGAAACGCGTCGAGGAGCGGGCCGAAAGGGCGGAGAAACGCGTCGAGTCTCTGGAAGAGTTCATTCGAAACGAGCTCTTCCCACGCGTCGCTAGCCCTCCGGAGTCCGCCACCCAAAGGGCGCCTCATCAGCAACAGCAACAGCACCTGCCACTTTCGCCACCACCTCTCCAGTCCCAGGGCCACTGCCTGGCATTGGCTTAGACGTGAGTCGGGTCCTAGACAGCGACATAAAGGAAGGCAACGCCGGCACTATTCGTCGGCGCGCGAACGCTGCCCTCGAGAAGTTGGGTGTGACCTGTCTGGGCGTCAATTCTAAGGAAAAGGGCGTTTTCGGCTTCTCTTTCGAGAGACGGACGTCGATAAAGTACGGCAGAACGACACCTGGATAAAGACACACTTCGACAAGGGAACGCTATATGGGGAACAGTGGTACCTCTACGGGTTGATAGAGCCCATCGTGGGGTTGCGACGGATGATATCGGATGCGCCGTGTTTGAGCGGATGAACGGGGTGAAAGTGCACAAGATGCGATGGCTCGGGACAGCGTCTGTCGACAAGGAATACCGCTCTCTGGTGGTACACCTGGATAAGAAAGAGGAGGTGGACAGGTTGCTTGCACAACGAACGGTTGAGATGGCGAATGGCGAGTGTGCATACACGCGACCATTTGTTCAGGGACTTCAACCAGCGAGATGCTACCGTTGCCACCTCTACGGACACTTGCATTATCGCTGCAAGGCGCCAGCTCCGATCTGTGGACAGTGCGCCCAACCGGGCCATTCTGCGTCGACTTGCACCTCGGACGTTTTTAAGTGTGCAGCGTGCGGTGGAAAAGGAGCACACAAGGCTACAGATCCTGGGTGCCCGGTATATCGCCGGGAACTCGCCAAGTTACGACCGTCGCCCTACTAACATACATCCTCTGTCTTAACCTTTTCTTTTCAGCACAAACCTCTACCTATACCTGTGGTTGCCCCACAGCTGGTAGGTTAGCTACACCGGACGGCTAAAGGCAGGTGGACTCTTCGTCAAATGCGGCGGAGGAGAGTGGTCTGTACCTCATCAGACAGGCTCCAGAATTGGAAAGGGACAGGTCAAGTGAGCAAGAGACGGATTGAAGGATGTAAGAGAAATTCAGGATTAGATCGGGACGAATTCCTTGGGCTCGGAACCGAGTATTGGACAGCTCTAGATTAGGCTTAGCGAGTCTGACGCAGTGCCTCTGACTATTGTCAATGGCGGAATATATTAAAAAAAAAAGGCATATTTAGGGAGAGGACACCCAGTTGTGTTGTTCTGTTCTCCTTTCTATTCTTCAGAGCAGAATCTTCGTAATAGAGTCCACAGCCTTCTGGCTCAGTCCGTGACCGTCACAGGCTATGTCTGGATCGGCAGCGCGTACCTGCTCGGGAACGCCACCTTCGTGCCGGCCTGGGGCAAGATCTCGGACATATTCGGCCGCAAACTCGTCCTCATTAGCGCCGTCGTTATCTTCTGGATCGGCAGCCTGCTGTGCGCTGTCAGCAATAGCATAGGCATGCTCATCGCCGCGCGCGCCGTCCAGGGCGTCGGCGGCGGCGGCACCATTGTTTTTTGAATTGCGCTACCCAAAGGGGGTGTTACCCAAAGGGGGGTGGGGAATGGTATTTTGTAAACAGCTTCGATCGAATAGAAAGGCACAAATTGTACGGCCGAAGAAGTAGAAATACACCAATTTGGTTCTTCCCCTTGTAACTTGACGAGCTCGTCGAGCCATAAGAGAGCCTCCAAGCAGCGGCATTCCGGATGGTCGGCCGGACGCCCGACCGTGAACATCCTATTGATATAGTTGACCGTTCTGAAAGGTTCCCCGCAAGAGTTCCCATATCCCGCAAACAGGGGTACATATGGCGGTGTCACTGGATCGCATAGCCGAGCACCATCTCTCTGACATAAGGTCCCTCGCAGTCAGCTCGGGACGATACGAAGTGGTCGCCGTTGGCCGGGACTCTGCAACGGTAGAGAGGGACGGATCCCGGTTTCTGTCTGGTGTAGATGTAGCCGACGGGTCCCAGGGGAAACTGGCCCTCGCATCCAGATTGCTGTGTCAGGAGGGAGTGACCGCCCACCTTACACTCGTAAAGCATGACCGTGTCCGGCTGCTCATCACGGAACAGACGCCAAGTCGACTCGGAGGTGAATCCGGGGGGCAGCATCCTCGAGGAGGCGACGTGGCCCCGTTTGGGGTTGTAGCCTCTGCGCAGCACGGTATGGGGCAGGTCCTCGAAGCCGCAGGCGAGCCGGGCAGGGGAGATGTCGTTGCGGTTCGCAAGCGCCCAGGTTGCCCACGCGGACTTGGCCGAGCCGTCGGCCTTGCGGAGACCGAGCTTGAGGCCGCCCTCGTTGGCATTGTCCTGCATGCGGTGATATATATAACTTTCAATGCCAGGTGTGCCGAGCACGTTGCGGAATGTCTGGCACACCGAAGTGTCCTGGGCCGCCTCGCTGGACTGGTCGCCAGAGTTGATTCCGTTCTCGGTGAGCTGGACGGTCCAGGCATGCGGGTTGCTTGGGTATCTTTGCCTCAACCAACCCAGCAGGATGCCGATGTTACCGAAAGAGACCTTGGGATAATCATCTGCGGAAAAGACGGGACTGAATAGGTTCGGGGGGTAGGCGTGATAGGCAACCCGCCATTGGCGGTTCCCAGCTCGGGCGGCTAAGCCGTCAAGTACTGTCATGCCGGACAGACGGCCGTGAGCCGCGTCGTCGAGTTCCTTGCCAAAGAAGTTGTCCAACGAGGTCAGAACCTTGGCAGTCGGCTGCTCGACGACGATGCGGTCGTAGGCGGCGTTGTAGTTGGACCCGATCTGGTCGAGCCATTGATTCGTGTCACATGGTACGCCCCGGCCGCAGCCAATATTGAACCAGTCGTTGCTGTTGACTTCGTTGTTGATGACAAAGTCGGCAATACGCCCATGCCCGTGAAGTCCGTCGTAGCGCTGGGCCAGCATGCCGGCGAAGCGTCCAAAGTCGTCGGGATTGTTGGGCACGCAGAAGATGTCCATTCCCGGCGCCGCTGGTGAGCAGGGACGGCCCTGGCGTGCCCATTCCGGAGTGCCGTAGAGTATAGCGGTCACGACGAGTCCACGATCGGTCCAGTCTTTGATGGTCGAGTCCACCTGGGTCGGAATAGTGAAGCAGCGACTGTCGTATTCTTGCTCGTTGGCGGCGCAAGGTAGACTTGATACTCGGCTCCCATGACAACCAGAGCAGGTTCATCGACACACCACCAGCGTTGTTGCCGGAAAGTTCATCCTTGTTAGGCCAGAAGTCAGGCTGTATTCCCTTGACGTGATAGTTGGACCTGGTTGGGTACGGCAGCGGAGACAATCTTGTAACGAGAGCCAAGGCGACGGAAGGGAGCATAAGAGTAAATATCGCTGCCGTGAGGCATTGCAGCGACCTTGCCATAATGCCTAGTAGTCGAAGATGATGCTATTTCGTACAAACAATGATGTCCGCGTAGATGTGCAAGTTAAGAGTAATTAAGAGTAAGGCGCTGCTGAGAAGCGGGGGGGCCAGCCATCGTAGTGAAAATACGACCCTGCTTATTACTCCGTACCCCGTAAGATACCTGGGTTGCCGCCGAATACGCCGTCACAGGAGTAAGCAAAGCTGTAAATTTATGTGCTACAAAGGCTGTGCTTGGAGAGGATTGCAAGCAAGCCAGCAATTCCCCTTATTGAATCGTCATCCAAAACGCTCCTGTCCGCTCCTGTGCATATGATCAAATGGCTCAGTTAGAGAAAACCCCATCCCCGTTGTTGCTGACCCATAAGAGAGCCAAATTGTCACATTGAGAGTTGCTGCAAGCAGGCGAATGTATGACCAGTCAATTCAATACTTCCTGGGCAGTCACAACCTGGCCAGCAAGCCGGGCAGCGTCAGCAGCCCGAGCAGCCATAGAGCCATCCGTGCGACGCCGGATATCATTGAGATCAAAGGACGCATCAAACATGATGCCATTCAACGTCTTGGCGCGCGAGACGGCGACGTAGGTGAGGCCAGACTGGAAATCGCGATGGGATATATCGGCAACAACCCATTCAAGCGTAGCACCCGTGCCTTGTGCACAGTGATGCTATATGCGATTGTCAAGGGAAACTGAGTGCGAGAGCAGGGCATACTACCCTTGATGAAGTCCCGCCAGGAGCGAAAGATGGGCTGGACGTTGGCTAGCTCAGGGTCGTCGAAATAAGGGGGGCCGGTATAGCGATCGAAGCGGACCATAATGACAAAGGGATGATGAGCTTGAGGATCCTGTACGTGATCCTCATAGGCAAAGTGTCGGATCTCACCACGAGGCACGCACGAGGGACAAGTCGGATGTGAAAGCTGATCCCGCAGAGAAGGGGTAAAAGAGGTCTCTGTTACAAAAGAGAGTAAAGAACGTTGGGTGTCCACTGACCCAGCTTAAATAGCTGTCAGGAGGGACCCTGATATCTGCATACACGGGAACCAAGCATCCTCCTTCCAAACAGGGTCCGCTCGATGCGACACAAAGTCATATATGGTCCCCAGTGCACCATTAACAAGGCCAACATCAGTCCAGACGTTCTCAGTCAACATAACTCTTGCCCCAATGCAAATGGGTAACTGGTTATGTAAGTTGCCAGCAGTCATAGAGTCAGCTTCGGCGGCTTTTGGACCGACATTTGTTGCCCGAACCTGTCTGCAAGGCACAGCTAGGCGTTCCTTATGATCCCTGTTGAACTCGCGGACCTGGGCATTCGTTGTGTAGATGCGTACTGCCCCGTCAAAGCACGTAACCTCAGCTAAGGTCAGATTGGCCTGGACGCGGGTGCAGAGCAGCTCCCAGTCTAGGACAGGAGGAGCATCTATACGTAGGCTCTGAAGAGCAGTGCGAAAAGGAGCCTGCTCTTCGCCCTGCTGACGCAACACTTGTCGTAACACAACTGTCTTGTCAAATGCCAGGTAGGCATTGCGGCCATTCTATACCGTCTCGTTGAGACCTATAGTAACAACGCAGCTAATAAGCGGAAGGATATTGCCGAGGCTACCCAACGTGACCATCCTGAGGTCCTAATCAACGATCGTGATGTAGGATGCATTCAGCGCCAGCTTCGTCTTCAACACTACGGCGCTACTACATCTACACAAGCATTCCTCGACGTACTCCTCGCTGCAAAGGCCGACGGGGAAGTCGCCTTCTTTGCAGTTGACCGTAGCCCTAATGGCAAGATCTGGAGGATATTCTGGATATATTCTGACGGTCTTGCTGACTGGAAGCGTAACCCGGAACTCCTTATTATGGATAATACGTACCTTGTCAACCGTTTCAACATGCCACTCCTGCAAATCATTGGGACTACGGGACTGCACAAGAGCTATAGTGTAGCCTTTGGTATTGCCGCTAAGGAAGACGAAGGCGCCTTCAACTGGATTCTCTCACAACTCTACGATACCGGCCGACGGGCTAGTATTCCTCCTCCAGGCGTTATCATTACTGATTTTGATATGGCCCTCAAGAACGCCCTTTCCTCTGTTTTCCCCTATTCACAGCAACAACTCTGCGTCTGGCACATGATGAAAAACGTGATCCTACATATCAAGAAGAAGTGGGTTGGTAGCCTCGAAGGTACCGAGATTATAGGAGATAGGGCAGATGAAGCAGACACTCGCCTCGGCGCCGAGGCTGCCCTCGCAAACGACCGAACGAACGCCAATGCTATCGAGGACCGACCGATCGATCATACCGCCGAGGCACAGATACAACCTGCCTCCCAGCTAGCGGACCAATATCTCGATGAGGAACGGGATGAAGAGGGGAACCCAATCCCGCCGCCGCTGCCCCAACGGACCTTCAAGCATACAGCTGACGGTATCCGTGATGCCTGGGCTTCAGTCGTTAGGGCACGCACGCCTGAGGAATGTAGTGGGCAGTGTGAGGGAACGATCATGTGACTTTCATACTTTATGAAATGTCTCACTTGTATTCAATGTAAATAGCGAAAGTCAGAGTCTTCCTTAGGAACCTCTTTCTCTCTTTGTAGACAATCACTTTATCCAAGTCGCACTCGACCTTGTTCGTGCACTTGTACCGTCACAAGCAGTGGAATATCCTATGTATAGAGTTTTCCGACCAGCCAGGTAACCCTAGCCCTATTTACCGTTATATTAATATTTATTGCTAATTACTTAGCCCTCGTTGACTACTTCCATACAGCCTACTATCCGTGGCGTGCCCAGTTTTGTAGGTATGCCATCCAACAGCACCGTAATTACGATATCACGGTAACTTCTCGTGTTGAAAGCACACATCACGAGCTCAAGAGTATCTTACGCCATCGTTTTATCGATCTCTGGCAGCTACAGGTCTCTATCCGTCAACTTGTTGACCAACGGCAGAAAACGCATCTCGAAGCGCTTCAAGACGAGTTCACGAAGGTCCAGGTCGAATGGACTAAATATCCTATCCTCAAGTCACTATACCGGAAAATTGGTTGGCATCCAATAAAGCAGATCTTCAAGCAAGTGAAGTTAGCTACAGAAGAGTTATCCGATAAACGGGGCCAGCGGCCAACGGATTGTACGGGTGCCTTCACGACCCAATGGGGTCTGCCTTGCCGGCATACAATCCGTGATATCCTTCAAGCTGATGGCGAGGCTGCTGAAATTTCCTCGATCTTATTGATACCCACTGGCTATTGTATGGTCCTACTGTAAGTAATACTACTAAGCCCCTATCTAGCTATATACTAATTTACAGGCAGCATGAACTACGGCAGTATATCGAATCACGACATGAGCCCGATCCCGATATTGTCCAGCCTCGCCGGCGTGCGAACAATAGGCCCGAGACATCCTCCACTAGAGCCATCGACTGGCCGGATCCTTAGTGCTTGGGAGCAAGAGGAGCATAGGGCTACAATACAGCTCGGGTCACAGCCAGCAGGGGCGCAGAAGAAGAAGAGGAAGGGCACAGGCACTACTGTCGTGACCAAGAGGTCGAATACGCTTGCTTCCGTGAGCAGCCGGGTTGACGATCTTGCCCAGCAGATCGGTGATTTCATCAAGTCGCAAGCAGCCGCAACGCCGGCGCCGTTATCACAGGTACCCTCACTTCCACAGGCGCCGCCGGCATCACAAGATCCTATGTGATGCCACCGCCTCCTCGGCACAGGCACATCACCACGGCTTCATGTGGGCACAGCCGCCGGCACAGTCTCACGGGACGGTAAGGGAGCATTTCCAGCAGCAAGGGGATCAGGCGGACACGGCACCATGCAATTCTAGCGGGCGGGCGGTCCCCAAATTCGTTCCCTATGTGCCTCGCCCTCCGCCGCGTCGGACGGATCCTTCCTCACAGTCACAGTCACAGTCACAGAGGTAGGCAAAGGCGGCCAAAAATGCACCTTCCGCTGCTGTGTGCATATTACATACACATCGGAAGATCGGTCGGGCCGGGCTTAGTAATAGTTTCAATTGAACGACTCCAAGGGACGCATCTTCCGGCGTTGGTGATCTTTGCAGATTGAATGCATCCTTCGTACTCCGTACGCTGTCGTGTAATCGGGGCGGGCGACGCGCGCGCCAAATTGTGGTGGCGGGTCCCCCTTCCTAATGGGGTTTAAGTCTCCGTGCATGATTTGAAATCGTCCGTGCATGATTCACTACTCAACACGCACGGCGACTTTGGCGGGTCCTTTTCCAAATG